GCACAGGAAGTGAACACTAGGGAACAGCAGAAGAAGACAGACAGGAAGTAAACACTGAAGGGAACAGCAGAAGACAACAGACGGGAAGTAAACACTAAAGGGAAGCAGCAGAAGAAGACAGACAGGAAGACAGACAAGTAACACTAAGAAACGCAGAAGAAACAGACAGGAAGTAACACACCAAAGGGAACAGCAGAAGAAGAGAGGCAGGAAGTAAACACTAAAGGGAACAGCAGAAGAAAACAGACAGGAAGTAAACACTAAGGGAACAGCAGAAGAAGAGAGGCAGGAAGTAAACACTAAAGGGAACAGCAGAAGAAGAGAGGCAGGAAGTAAACACTAAAGGGAACAGCAGAAGAAGACAGACAGGAAGTGAACACTAAAGGGAACAGCAGAAGAAGACAGACAGGAAGTAAACACTAAAGGGAACATCAGAAGAAGACAGACAGGAAGTAAACACCAAAGGGAACAGCAGAAGAAGACAGACAGGAAGTGAACACTTAAGGGAACAGCAGAAGAAAACAGACAGGAAGTAAGCACTGAAGGGAACAGCAGAACAAGACAGACAGGAAGTAAACACTAAAGGGAACAGCAGAAGAAGACAGACAGGAAGTAAACACTGAAGGGAAGACCAAGTATATATATAAAGCTGTCATGCTGCCTCACCTCTGCGGTGCCTTCAGAGGTTTTGAAGGTCTTCCTCAGAGTGCTGAAGGTTCCCTGGAGTCCTTGCTGCTGCGACATCTTCAGCATCGCCGAGAACAGTTTGGGGGTTTCTGCTCGGGGCGGGACGACCTCTTTGACCTTCTCGTCCGGCTTCTTATCCTTGGACAGCATCGTCCTGCACAAACACAGAGACGGGTTGAAGGAGAAACACAAACATTGGTTCAGACACAGATACGTGTCACCCACAACAACTACGATAAGGGGCATTACAACCACAAATACAGAGAACGTAACACACAACATGACTACAAAGAGACACAACATGTCTTTGAAGAGAAACAACATGACCTCAAAGAGACGCCAAACAGCCTCACTCACAAAAAGGACCGCTAAAGGACACGAAATGACCTCAAAGAAACACATCATGAGCACAAAGAGACCCAGAAGAGCTATGAAAGGTTAACAACCACAAAGATACTTTCAAAACTACCTAAAACGACCTCAAATTAAAACTGAATATATTCACAAAAGGAACAACATCTATAAAAAGGGGCGAAAGACCACAAGACAACACAAAGCCACTAGAAAGAGACACACAACCACTACAGAACCAGAAAGTATTACAAACACACACACTTTAAATCTCTGTGCCAATGTTCCAATAGACTCAAAACGTTTAAATCTCTGTAGAGAATCTCCCCTATCAACTCATACTCTGCCGCTGTTTAACCTTCTACACAACCAGCCACACAAAGACTACATTCAGATCCCTGGAGGTCCGTACCAACACCCGCTCCAGGTCCAGCACATCACAACCGCAAAGAGACGACCAACAACCTTATAGAGACAACAGACGATGGCTCAGACACAAATTGAAACTACAAGGAGACACAAAATGACTTCAAAAGCCACGAAACAACCTCGGGGAGACAAAACGACCAGAAAGAAACACAACATAAGCACAAAGAGACCCACAAGAGCTATGAAAAGGCTAACAACCACAACGAGACACACAGAGACATAACATGACTTCAAAGAGACACCTAACACAGAAAAATACCTACAACGACAGCTCTGAAAAGGGGCAACACGACCACAAGAAGACACAAAGTCAGTAGAAAGAGACAACAACTACAGAAACACAAACTATAACTAAGACACAACACAACTTAAAATCTCTGTGCCAATGATCCTATAAACTCATACTCTGCTGCTGTTAAGAACATATATTACACCTTACTTTCTACTCAACCAGCCACACAAAGACTACATTCAGATCCCTGGAGGTCCGTACCAACACCCGCTCCAGCACATCTACCTGCTCTGCTGCAGCTCCATGATGGATCTGAGCTCTGCCGCCTGAGAGAGGATTACCAGGGCGGACTAATCCTGTCCAGGATCTACCGGGAGGAGTCCCAAGATCTTCAACCATCAACGACTGATGGCCGTGCAAGTTGCAGAAAAGCCTTTGACGCAGCATGGTCACACATTACAGACTGATGACAGGCTAATAAACCTGGAACCTGCAAAATAGACCAGTTATATTGTGCAATAATCGCTGCTAATGCACACCATTTTCATTCCTGCACATATTTCTATTCCAATTCTACGATTTCAATCTTATTCGATGTAAATACTGCTATATTTCACTAAATGTTTAAAACATTTTTTTAACAACACCAAGTACAAGTCTTCATATGTGTTAACCTACCTGCAATAAACCTCTTTCTGATTCTGATGTGAAAAACATACATTAGTTATAATATCTCAACACCATATTATGCCTCTTATTTATCTTATATAACTTATCCATATTAATACGTTAGCTTTATCATTGCTGGCCTTTTATAACCTGCTTGACACTTATATTTCCCCGCTAAAGGAATACTGATTCTGATCGTCTAACATGAAGAACACAGTTTAGCAACTTCCCTTTTTCTCTATATAATTATAATAAGCTTTATTGTACAGTGACCCATGAGCCAGGCAGCACTTCAGAGAAAGGCCTCCGTAACATTAATCTGTGTGCAACTTATACATATCAATATCTACTCGGCACTATTTCTATTATATTCTATTTGATTGTATTTACTTGCACTATTATCTGTGTTATTGTGTTGCTCTGTTGGAGGAGCCTGTGACCTACATATCTGCACTGTAGCTCTGACACATGACAATAAAAGCCTTGAATCTTGAATCTCTTACTTGGCCTTCTTGCGGAGGAGTTTCTGGGACTCGGGGTAGTGCACCAGGATCTCTGCCAGGTCCTTCTTGTCGAGGATGAAGAGGTTAGCGAAGCCGTGCGCCCTCACGTCGGCCGTGCGCCGGTTACCCCCGCCTCCCGCCAGCAAACTGACCAATCACAGAGGAGGGGGTCAGCAGGATTCAGAGAAAACGGAACATCGATTTTCAGAGTTATCGAGTGGTGCACTAAGTATTTCTGTGGTGGACCCTGAAGGCAACATCTCCCTGGTTCCCGACACAAAATCTTGGGCTCGAAGATGTTGAGTCGTCTCATTTAGACTCTTGTTATTTACTGACGTTATCTATGTCGTGGAACAAAACAACTAAAAACACATTCACGAAACCATTGACTTCCGGACGAGGCTAGGTTCTGGTTTTAGGACTCATTCCAGAACCATTTTCCATATTAACTTGTTAACATTAAAAAGATAGCATAGGTTAAGCAGGCTAATATTAATATGGAACACTCAGTGTTTTACGCACATCAAAACTAAAGATTGACTATTATTTTCTAGAGTGTCCAAAAATAAAATAGAATGTCCGTTGCCCTTTCTCAAAATATAAGGTCTGAAGGGTTTGTCTGTCAAACTAAGATGTGATGTTGACTATAGAAAAGTTCAGTGACATGCTCTTTATCAATTATCATTTTATATTTCATGTGTGATTATTTATATGAGATAAGAAGATAAGATTTAGTGATCCCAATTTGGGAAATGTTTGCAAAACTAAAAGAATCATAAACGTTTGTTTGACACAGAGATTCCCATTGGACCAGAGAGATGCTGCCTTCAGGGAACCGAAATACCACATCCTACACCAAGCTATTTCCAGCCTTCTGATACTCTGGTCTACTGACCTCTGCACTCTGAGAACACTCACACTCTGTACCGTATCTTTAACACGTTAACAGGATTTAATTACAGGACATTACTGTGACGCAGACACGGAGCTGCTCTGACCTGATCTCCCCGAACACAGCGCCCGCTCTGATGGTGACGAACACCGTCTGCAGGTCAGGACCCCCCACCACCTGCACCGCCCCCTGCTGGATGATGTACATCTGACGCCCTATCTCCCCCTGCAGAACACACACACAGGTTAACACACACACACACACACACACACACACACACACACACACACACACACACACACACACACACACACACACACACACACACACACACACACACACACACACACACACACACACACACACACACACACACACACACACACACACACACACACATACACACACACACACACACACACACACACACACACACACACACACACGTGTTACCTTCACACAGACGAAGTCTCCGGGCAGGTAGACGACAGATTTGAGTCTGGTCAGCAAGTCGAACATCATCTGTCTGTCACAGCCCTTAAAGGCAGAGAAAAGAGATACAAATTATACTTAAATAAATAAATATAGAAATATAGAAATTTAAAAGAATCCCCTGAAATAAATTGGGAATAATTATGCTGAATTATAAAAAGTCAAATGAAATAAATAAATATGGACAAATAAAATTGATTTTATTCATAATAATTTGTTCACATCAAACAGAAACTGAAATTCTTTCGTGGTGTCACAAAGCATTTAAAATATGTAATGCATTATTTTGATGTTATTAAAGTTTGCTGACCTGGAACAGGGCCACTTTACTGATGATGGCGTAGTTGACGTCCACAGCGATGTCCAGCCTCATCTTTACAGGAAGCTGCACCAGGAGCTCCTGTTCATCTGCAGGGAACACATCCAAACACTCTCAGTGTCCCTGAACGCACCACGAGACGTTTATGGACACTTCTCTATATCTCAGTTTCTTTAAATAAAACTGCAAAAATCATCAATTGCAGAAATATAATGATGAGGTACTGTACTTGAATAGTACCCTGAAGCTCCTTTCTGCAGTACTTTACTACAGTTTGAGGTACTGTGCATACTTTTTTTACATTTTAAACTTTTATTCTTCGATGTTTTTAGACATTGTTGATTATTTAGGTAGTAAACTCATATAGTTACTCAAAAAAAACAACATAAAATAATTTAAATTAGCCCGATTGCAAACAGTTACAACATTGAAATAATGTGTACATGTAAATGCTTCAGTATTAATAATTCAAACAGAAAATATGTAACATTTAACAGTCCGAAAGCACCATTTTCCATAACTTTGATATTGAGATTTTAAGTATATTTTGCACTTATACTTGTGCTGTTACTCGTGTACATTTGTAATGATGTATCTTACCCAGCATGCCCTGGCTCTTCCAGGTGTAATCGTACCAGGTGCGGATGCGGTTCTGGACGGGTGCGGGGATGTTGTAAGAGTTCATGTACTTCATCGTGCTGTCCATAGTCGCTCGGTAGTAGTTCTCTCCGGCCGTGGCGGCCCCGACCACATCCCTCATCTGAGGCAAAATCATTTATATCATTTTACATTACATACATCATGTCATATATTTTGTTATTATATTATGCTCACGGAGAAAACGGGAATGACGCTTCGACATTTTTCTCCAAGGGAAGGAACAAAATATCCACACTACTCATAATCCCGTTTTAAATTAAATCTGATGAAATCTAGGGCTACACAATTTCAAAACAATATTTTACTGCAATTATTTTGACTGACATTGATTCAAAATATGAAAGGGATCATTTTTTAACCATAATTCTCATTATCATTAGTTTACTACTTTACTTATACAATGTTATCAATGGCTGCTTCTTCAATACTTTGATCACTTTTAACTAATTTGCTTTTTCATAATACTGGTACTTTTACCATGTTAGTGTAATTAGTTTTTTCAATTGATATGCCTCTTTATTAAATACATAAGTCTCTCTGTGCCTTTGCTGAAGATGTACCCGCAGTGTGGCGAGTAACAACGCACTGCACCCACTGATCTTTAAGGATTGTATTCCCTTCTACTCATTTAATGAAATAAGAGTGTGTTTAATGGCTGACCTGCCCGATCATGATGGAAAACGCAAAGACGCCCACGAAGTAGTTGATGAGCTGGAAGTAGATCTCGAAGACGGTGGTCGGGTCCGGCAGTCCTCCGATGGTGATCAACGTCTTCACCGCAAAGTAATAGCAGCGGATATAACTGTGAGAAAAACAATATATGATACTGTCTTCAATCTGGTTCCAGACAGAGGGTGAACAATAAAGAGCTACATACTGATATACACCTGAACATCAGCAGGAGAGGACTCTTTAAAGTAGAGACACTACATACTGATATACACCTGAACATCAGAGGAGAGGACTCTTTAAAGTAGAGACACTACATACTGATATACACCTGAACATCAGCAGGAGAGGACTCTTTAAAGTAGAGACACTACATACTGATATACACCTGGACATCAGCAGGAGAGGACTCTTTAAAGTAGAGACACTACATACTGATATACACCTGAACATCAGCAGGAGAGCACTCTTTAAAGTAGATACACTACATACTGATATACACCTGAACATCAGCAGGAGAGGACTCTTTAAAGTAGAGACACTACATACTGATATACACCTGAACATCAGCAGGAGAGGACTCTTTAAAGTAGAGAATCTACATACTGATATACACCTGAACATCAGCAGGAGAGGACTCTTTAAAGTAGAGACACTACACACTGATATACACCTGAACATCAGCAGGAGAGGACTCTTTAAAGTAGAGACACTACATACTGATATACACCTGAACATCAGCAGGAGAGGACTCTTTAAAGTAGAAACACTACATACTGATATACACCTGAACATCAGCAGGAGAGGACTCTTTAAAGTAGAGACACTACATACTGATATACACCTGAACATCAGCAGGAGAGGACTCTTTAAAGTAGAGACACTACATACTGATATACACCTGGACATCAGCAGGAGAGGACTCTTTAAAGTAGAGACACTACATACTGATATACACCTGAACATCAGCAGGAGAGCACTCTTTAAAGTAGAGACACTACATACTGATATACACCTGAACATCAGCAGGAGAGGACTCTTTAAAGTAGAGACACTACATACTGATATACACCTGAACATCAGCAGGAGAAGACTCTTTAAAGTAGAAACACTACATACTGATATACACCTGAACATCAGCAGGAGAGGACTCTTTAAAGTAGAAACACTACATACTGATATACACCTGAACATCAGCAGGAGAGGACTCTTTAAAGTAGAGACACTACATACTGATATACACCTGAACATCAGCAGGAGAGGACTCTTTAAAGTAGAGACACTACATACTGATATACACCTGGACATCAGCAGGAGAGGACTCTTTAAAGTAGAGACACTACATACTGATATACACCTGAACATCAGCAGGAGAGCACTCTTTAAAGTAGAGACACTACATACTGATATACACCTGAACATCAGCAGGAGAGGACTCTTTAAAGTAGAGACACTACATACTGATATACATCTGAACATCAGCAGGAGAGGACTCTTTAAAGTAGAGACACTACATACTGATATACACCTGAACATCAGCAGGAGAGGACTCTTTAAAGTAGAGACACTACATACTGATATACACCTGACCATCAGCAGGAGAGGACTCTTTAAAGTAGAGACAATACATACTAATATACACCTGAACATCAGCAGGAGAGGACTCTTTAAAGTAGAGACACTACATACTGATATACACCTGAACATCAGCAGGAGAGGACTCTTTAAAGTAGAGACACTACATACTGATATACACCTGAACATCAGCAGGAGAGGACTCTTTAAAGTAGAGACACTACATACTGATATACACCTGAACATCAGCAGGAGAGGACTCTTTAAAGTAGAGACACTACATACTGATATACACCTGAACATCAGCAGGAGAGGACTCTTTAAAGTAGAGACACTACATACTGATATACACCTGAACATCAGCAGGAGAGGACTCTTTGAAGTAGAGACACTACATACTGATATACTCCTGAACATCAGCAGGAGAGGACTCTTTAAAGTAGAGACACTACATACTGATATACACCTGAACATCAGCAGGAGAGGACTCTTTAAAGTAGAGACACTACATACTGATATACACCTGAACATCAGGAGGAGAGGACTCTTTAAAATAGAGACACTTCATACTGATATACACCTGAACATCAGCAGGAGAGGACTCTTTAAAGTAGAGACACTACATACTGATATACACCTGAACATCAGGAGGAGAGGACTCTTTGAAGTAGAGACACTACATACTGATATACACCTGAACATCAGCAGGAGAGGACTCTTTAAAGTAGAGACACTACATACTGATATACACCTGAACATCAGCAGGAGAGGACTCTTTAAAGTAGAGACACTACATACTGATATACACCTGAACATCAGCAGGAGAGGACTCTTTAAAGTAGAGACACTACATACTGATATACACCTGAACATCAGCAGGAGAGGACTCTTTAAAGTAGAGACACTACATACTGATATACACCTGAACATCAGCAGGAGAGGACTCTTTAAAGTAGAGACACTACATACTGATATACACCTGAACATCAGCAGGAGAGGACTCTTTAAAGTAGAGATACTACATACTGATATACACCTGAACATCAGCAGGAGAGGACTCTTTAAAGTAGAGACACTACATACTGATATACACCTGAACATCAGGAGGAGAGGACTCTTTAAAGTAGAGACACTACATACTGATATACACCTGAACATCAGCAGGAGAGGACTCTTTAAAGTAGAGACACTACATACTGATATACACCTGAACATCAGCAGGAGAGGACTCTTTAAAGTAGAGACACTAAATACTGATATACACCTGAACATCAGCAGGAGAGGACTCTTTAAAGTAGAGACACTAAATACTGATATACACCTGAACATCAGCAGGAGAGGACTCTTTAAAGTAGAGACACTACATACTGATATACACCTGAACATCAGCAGGAGAGGACTCTTTAAAGTAGAGACACTAAATACTGATATACACCTGAACATCAGCAGGAGAGGACTCTTTAAAGTAGACACACTACATACTGATATACACCTGAACATCAGCAGGAGAGGACTCTTTAAAGTAGAGATACTACATACTGATATACACCTGAACATCAGCAGGAGAGGACTCTTTAAAGTAGAGACACTACATACTGATATACACCTGAACATCAGGAGGAGAGGACTCTTTAAAATAGAGACACTTCATACTGATATACACCTGAACATCAGCAGGAGAGGACTCTTTAAAGTAGAGACACTACATACTGATATACACCTGAACATCAGGAGGAGAGGACTCTTTGAAGTAGAGACACTACATACTGATATACACCTGAACATCAGCAGGAGAGGACTCTTTAAAGTAGAGACACTACATACTGATATACACCTGAACATCAGCAGGAGAGGACTCTTTAAAGTAGAGACACTACATACTGATATACACCTGAACATCAGCAGGAGAGGACTCTTTAAAGTAGAGACACTAAATACTGATATACACCTGAACATCAGCAGGAGAGGACTCTTTAAAGTAGAGACACTACATACTGATATACACCTGAACATCAGCAGAGAGGACTCTTTAAAGTAGAGACACTACATACTGATATACACCTGAACATCAGCAGGAGAGGACTCTTAAAGTAGAGACACTACATACTGATATACACCTGAACATCAGCAGGAGAGGACTCTTTAAAGTAGAGACACTAAATACTGATATACACCTGAACATCAGCAGGAGAGGACTCTTTAAAGTAGAGACACTACATACTGATATACACCTGAACATCAGCAGGAGAGGACTCTTTAAAGTAGAGATACTACATACTGATATACACCTGAACATCAGCAGGAGAGGACTCTTTAAAGTAGAGACACTACATACTGATATACACCTGAACATCAGGAGGAGAGGACTCTTTAAAATAGAGACACTTCATACTGATATACACCTGAACATCAGCAGGAGAGGACTCTTTAAAGTAGAGACACTACATACTGATATACACCTGAACATCAGGAGGAGAGGACTCTTTGAAGTAGAGACACTACATACTGATATACACCTGAACATCAGCAGGAGAGGACTCTTTAAAGTAGAGGACACTACATACTGATATACACCTGAACATCAGCAGGAGAGGACTCTTTAAAGTAGAGACACTACATACTGATATACACCTGAACATCAGCAGGAGAGGACTCTTTAAAGTAGAGACACTAAATACTGATGTACACCTGAACATCAGCAGGAGAGGACTCTTTAAAGTAGAGACACTACATACTGATATACACCTGAACATCAGCAGGAGAGGACTCTTTAAAGTAGAGACACTACATACTGATATACACCTGAACATCAGCAGGAGAGGACTCTTTAAAGTAGAGACACTACATACTGATATACACCTGAACAATCAGCAGGAGAGGACTCTTTAAAGTAGAGACACTAAATACTGATATACACCTGAACATCAGCAGGAGAGGACTCTTTAAAGTAGAGACACTACATACTGATATACACCTGAACATCAGCAGGAGAGGACTCTTAAAGTAGAGACACTACATACTGATATACACCTGAACATCAGCAGGAGAGGACTCTTTAAAGTAGAGACACTACATACTGATATACACCTGAACATCAGCAGGAGAGGACTCTTTCAAGTAGAGACACTGCATACTGATATACACCTGAACATCAGCAGGGAGAGGACTCTTTAAAGTAGAGACACTACATACTGATATACACCTGAACATCAGCAGGAGAGGACTCTTTAAAGTAGAGACAATACATACTGATATACACCTGAACATCAGCAGGAGAGGACTCTTTAAAGTAGAGACACTAAATACTGATATACACCTGAACATCAGCAGGAGAGGACTCTTTAAAGTAGAGACACTACATACTGATATACACCTGAACATCAGCAGGAGAGGACTCTTTAAAGTAGAGACACTACATACTATACACCTGAACATCAGCAGGAGAGGACTCTTTAAAGTAGAGACACTACATACTGATATACACCTGAACATCAGCAGGAGAGGACTCTTTAAAGTAGAGACACTACATACTGATATACACCTGAACATCAGCAGGAGAGGACTCTTTAAAGTAGAGACACTACATACTGATATACACCTGAAACATCAGCAGGAGAGGACTCTTTAAAGTAGAGACACTACATACTGATATACACCTGAACATCAGCAGGAGAGGACTCTGTTAAAGTAGAGACACTACATACTGATATACACCTGAACATCATCAGGAGAGGACTCTTTAAAGTAGAGACACTACATACTGATATACACCTGAACATCATCAGGAGAGGACTCTTTAAAGTAGAGACACTACATACTGATATACACCTGAACATCAGCAGGAGAGGACTCTTTAAAGTAGAGACACTAAATCCAAAATAACAGACTGCAACATTGTACATAACCTAAATCAGTATTTTTATATAAAGATAGTGACTTACGCGTTGCCTTTTCCATCGTAGACCCACTTGGTGGAGCCCAGTCCTTCGTAGTCGGAGCCCACGTAGAAGAGGCAGGCGTTGATGTGCAGAGAGTATAGCAGGTAGGTGGAGGTCCGGATCACCCTGACACACAACAACAACAACAGCAACAACAAAGGACCAAGATTCAGTTAAGTGAATGCACACTCATACATGCACTGAAAGAAAAACATGCGTGGGGTTCCTCAGGGATCAACACTGGGGTCCCTTTTCCTTTAATCTTTATATAAGACAAGATAAGATAAAAGTTGAAAGGGTAGTACAAAGAAGAGTTCAAATATAACTAAATATACACAATAAGGTGCCACATAATGTTGATAATGCCTTTCCTTATTTACTTTTTTACAATCAGTAATTATCGAGCTATACATATGACACACATTATACATTTGCTGTGTGTTAAAAAGTCCAAAAATCTAAATTGTTTTTATTTATTTTAATATCAATTTGACCCTAAACAGCCAGTTTGTTTTTTGTTTTATTACGTGAGAAAAAAACCCAAAAATGATTTTTTTCAGGAAAACATGAGAAGATGACACAAAGTATGATTTTCTAAATAATTGTATTTGAACATTGGTGGAGGTAAAAAAAGATACTTCCAATTTAAATAAATCATTTTGTAAATCGTGTTCTGTGGCACGAGAAAAGGGTAAAATCAACATGTACACAAACAATAGATCATATTTTGTGACCATTGCACAAACTGGTGTTGAGCTTGGGTCGGTTATTAGAGTTGAAATTTCACCTGTAGATGTACGCTTTCTTCATCACGGCCTCCATTCGGTCGTTGAACTCAAAGAAAGCCATGTACTGGGAGAGGAGGAAGAGGAGAGAGTCAGTATTTCATCTTTAACGATCAGGAAATGCATAAAGACAGAATCCTGCGGACCTTCAGCATACGAGGGAATCTGAGCAGGGAGTTCACTCCGGTGAAATAGTAAAGAATCTCCAGGGGAAACAGACTGAGGACGTCCATCTGAAGACACACGGACAATGAGAAGAGGAAGAAGAAGAAGACACTTTATTTAAGATAAGATAAGAAGATAGGAAGTACTTTATTGATCCCAATTTGGAAAATGTTTGCATTGCAGCAGCATAAAAAGACAAGGCATTTTACATTAGAGAATTTAAAAGACTAGAAATAAACAATCCAACATGTAAACCTCTCAAAAAGAAATAAAATAGCATTAAAAAAGTAGAAGAATATAAATGTTGAAATACAAATGTACAGTGGATATTATATATACATTAAGTGTGTAAGGAATGGAATATTAAATTGAATATAAATGTAAAACAAATGTACAGTGCAAATACACACACGCATATGAATATAGATTTGCACAAACACATGCATTGTTAGAGGGGTGGCAAAGGGAGGAGGCGGTCAGTTTTCAAGCACCATGGAGCATTTTGGGGTTCAGTGCTTGCTCAATGACCTCTCCAGTTACCAGTCCACACTCTGTATATTTATATATGTATATACACACTTGAACGAGCGACCCTTCAGTTCCCAAACCACTACAGACGGAGCCTGCTGCCCAATTGAGTTTGATAATAAGTGTTCATGTTCAACCATAAAATAGATCAACCTGGCACAACCTTAAAGACATAAGTATATACAATGTGTATTATTAATTGTTGGTGTTAGAAACCCCAAGAAAAGAGTTAAAGAAAGATATGAATCTTTGGATCTTACCTTAAATCTCTCAGTCTTCATGTAGTTTTCTCTCATGTCCTTTTTGTCACACTGAAATAAAAAAGTTCCACATTAACAAAGGTTGTTTTTGATAAATCAGGAGTCTTCAAAATGTTTCTGGCCAACAACCATTTACCTGGTTTAATTGTATTACACCTGTGGCTGCCTCTTTATTTAAGATGTTCTCTAATTTATTTTCTTTTTGCCTGAAAGGGTAAGGGCCTCTGATTCTAACTGTATGTATGCCATTTAGTTGCATATTAAATCGGGCTTATCTAAAGTCATATCTGTAAATATACTTTTTATGTTGCATGAAAAACCACTTCTATCTACCGATTCATATTATGTTTAAATGTTTAACATTCATGTGAAAGGCCTACGATTTATTACCAAATACACGTCACAGTCTTTTAAAGGTCACCTAACATGCTATTTTAAGGCATATATTATGGGTCTCAGATCTATAAAAATATATAAAAACATGTCTATGAAATGTTTTGCTCAAAATACAAACAGATCATGCATTTTAGACATCCCTCATACCCCTCTATTCCAGCTGTTAGAAAAACGCGGATGTTGGGTCCTTAGCTTGAGAAAAAAAAGAGGAGGCGGAGTTTAATGCCTGATCAGAATTCTACCAGAGATAAAGTTAAATTCTGCTGTGATAAAACGCCATCCTGTTCTAAACCACATCAAGGATTATTTCTGAATCAGTATGGAGCTCAAATGCTTTTTCTCTTGCAGGTTTATCACAAGGTGAGTTCCTTTTTATTTCCTGCTTTTTAAACACGTGCTCTCCAGTACAGGCTAGCTCTGAGTGTTAGCGAGGCTTGCTAATGTAAACAAAGACGAGATTACGTCCAAAACACGTCAGGCATTGTTTCTGATAGCAACTCTCTGTGGGTCCACCATCCGTAATTACGAAATATCGGCAGCAAATCTTTATCCGCTCGTTGTTCCCCCGTTTTTAAAAGATTTGGGTACGGAGGAAAAGAGAAAGGGTGTTTATGTATGTTATACAAGTTCATGTTTAAAATACATCAAAAAGTCCATTTTGCATGATAGGTTCCCTTTAATATTAACAATTCTGACAAGTGTGGCACCTGTCTCAATTAAAGTTTAACGTTGTTGACACATTTTAGTTTACAGGTTTTTTTTAAAGAAGTTGTTTTATTGCACTTTATGTTATTTTCTATACATTTTCATAGACCAATACAATCTCCTTAAAATATATTCCGTTTTATTCCCATTTTTTCCAATTCATTTATGTGTTTATAATTTATACATTTGAAATCTTCAGAATGTTTTTTTAGTTTTTGGGTAAGGCTTACATATCCAAAACATTTTATGGACTTATTTTAAATAACATTATAAAAAGATTTCACCGATGTGTTAATATTATAACCCATCAGTTTAATTGACATTTTAGTGTTTGATTCATATTTATTTGTATTTTCTAAAATTAAAATAAAATACTTTGGTGTCCCCCATGATAACGACTCAGACCTCTTTTTCGACCCCCATGTTCTAAACTTAAATACACATTTTGCAGATTTCTTTCTTCTGTAGCTCACTGACCACGATGTCTCCTCCGCGGACGAACTGCAGGCGTGGCTGGAAGACGAGGATGTCGGTGATGTAGATTAAGTCGCAGGTGTAGTCGGCCATTAGCCACAGGTGGACGTTAGCGGCGGTTTGGTACGGGAACGCCCAGCGCACCGGGATCAACCAAACATTCCAGTTCCACGCCGCCACTACGAAGAACAGCCAGATCACATAGATCGAATCTGAGGAGACAAACCAGCTTCATTTATCTCCAGTCAGAACTAAACATGGAGAAGTTCAGTTATTAAATATCTGGAACAAACTCCCAGAAACCTGCAGGTCCGCTGGAACTCGGACTACTTTTAAATCCAGGCTGAAGACTTTTCTTTTTGCCGCTGCTTTTAATTGAGCTATTCATATTATCTTTGCTTTTTAATGACTGTTTTTAAATGTCATTTTATATATTATCTCTTCGGGCCCGTCCACACGGAGACGCAAACGAAAACGAACCGAAGTCGTTTTCAAAAAAGTCTTCCGTCCAAACGAAAACGCTCTAAAACGCTGGAGACACTGTCGTACATATGCCTGGCCTGTAAGTGGTGCTGTACTTCCGCCACAAAATACACCAAAAGCAGCGAATAAGATCGATGACGATTATTATTATTATTATTATATTATATTATTATTGTTGCTGATGGTTGTGGTAGAGGAGCTGTAGATTTTGCACTAACATCTATATCATGGTCAGTAGCGTCTGGAGCACGAACGCAACCCTGTGATACGCCATTGTTGTTGGCGAAACGCATCAACAATGACGCGGGGTGAGCAGGAGAGGTGGGGAGAGGCAGGGCTATGGCGTCATCGATTTCAGGCAATGATCGTATAGGGCGTACACATGGAGCCGCAAGCGTTTCGTCTCCAGACTTACCCACTTTGGAAGCCGTTATCAAAGTGTATCGGATTCGGGCTCCGAAGCCGCGGCTCTGTTTTGGCCTCGTGTGGAGGAACCGTCTATACGATAAAGAACTTTAGCGGATACAACTGATATCGCCTCCGTGTGGACGGGGCCTTAATGCTCTTAATGTCTTTCATTTTTGTAAAGCACTTTGAATTGCCTTGTGTTGAAAGGTGCTCTATAAATAAACTTGCCTTAATGCAAGGTGGGGGAAAAGTGACTTTTCAACTAGAACTCCAACTACGTCAGACGCTGGGGTGGGAGGTATGCAGAAATCAGTTCATGAGGACGATGACAAAGAGTGAAGAAAGTGTAGAAAGATGCTCCGAAAAGAGTAGAACGTTCTTATAGAACAGCAGAACGCTTTTGAAGAGCAGAAAGTTATCAGAGAAGAGTCGAACGTATTTGAAAGAGAGTAGAGTGTTGTTGAAGAAAAGAAGAAAGTTGTCGGGTAAGAGTAGTAGAAAGTGATTGAAAAATGGACAATTGCTGGAGACTGGACGGTTGTTAAAAAGTAGAAAGATGTTCTAGAAGAGTAAAACATGTTTGAGAAGAGTAACAATGTGTTGTTGAAGAGTAGAAGGTTGTTGGACGAAAGTGGGAAGTTCAGAAGCGTAGAATGTTTTTAGAGAAGAATAGAAAGTCTTTGGAAAAGAAAAGGAAGTGATTGAAAAACAGTAGAAAATCATCTGAGAAGGGTAGACGGTTTAAAGTTGTTGTTTTGGGTTTTTAGAGGAGAAGAAAAATGAATAAGAGAAAGTAAAAGTTAAGCAGTTGCAGAGTAGAAAGTTGTAAGAGAAGCAGTGAGGCCATATCATTAAATGTGGGGGTCCTCAGGGATTAATACTGGGGCCCTTTTGCCTTTAATGTTTAAATGAGGAGAGTACATGTGACGCTGCAGTACAAAAAAGGATTCAGTGCCAAGAACTAAAAGATGAGATGCAAGACAAAGTAACGATGCCTCTCATTATGGTCCGTCATCATGTCATCATGTGTTATGGAGCTATGCAGATGACACAGTTCATATTGCTGTGATCCATTTTATCATTTCATTTATTAGCTTTTTTAAATTTGGACCCTTTAAACTGTAGGTCAGAATAATGTCACTGTTGTTTATGAAAACAAACAGATTCAAGATTTAAGGTTTATTGCTATAACATATAAACAACTACGGTGTAATTTAAGCTTTGCGAAACAAAACAGCTTGTATGATGAACGCTATGTGGTGTTGGATATGTGAATAATAATCAACATCGATCTGATGCGTGTTCATCTCACCGGTGAATTGGTCGATGCTGGAGGGGAAGCGGTACGCAGCGACGGCTCGGAGCCAGTCCGGCATCACGGGGAGTTTGGGGATTTTCACCGGATGCCCCAAAATGTCAAAGGGGAGAAAAAACTCCTCCTCTTCCTCCTCCTCATCTTCATCTTCTTCTGCAGGCGGGTCCTCTGGGGGAGGAGGAGGAGGAGGGGGGGGTTTGCTCGGAGCTGCAGACATCATTGACATTATTATACAGATATCTGATATGTTCTGAATTTACAGAAAAAGAAAGTTAAATAAGGTAAATTGATGGACTGTAAATTAAATTTGATTTAAAAAAAGTAACATTTAGATTCAGAACATTTAACAATCAGACTGTGCATTCACCATTTCAATTTGAACTTTTACTGTGTAGATTCAAATTGAACATTTAAATTTACAATGCATCATCCATTTTAAATATTTTAAATTAACATTTAGGATTCATAGTATCATTTAGATTTTAAATGTAGTTAAACCTTATATTTAGTATTTACCTTTTAGATTACATTTTTTAATAAAACATTTTTACATTTTAATTTGGAATTTAACATTTTGATTGAACATTTACGGTTTCATTTTACGATTATACATTGCATTTAAAAAAACGCTTCAATGTAGAGATCAAGCACTTTACATTTGTATTCAACATTAAGACGTAGCATTTATTTGTACATATAAAGACATTGTTAACAATAATACATATATTTTCCTCACATTTCTGCCTCAATGGAGGAAAATAATCAGAATTTGAGGAAAAGAGATAAATATTCAAACAGTTTCAGCTAGAAGGACACGATGATAACCAGAGGAAACACGTGAGAAACGTATTATAAATAAATCTATATAAAGGATTTGACTCACTGGCTGGAGGACTGTCCTCCTCGGACTCGTCCAGGTCCAGAAGACGCTCCTTCTGACGCTCCGCTCGACCTTTGAACATCCGGACCAGCTGCAGCAGACGCTCCTGAAGCAACACGCTGCCCACGCCCGGTAAGGACGGAGGACGCATCCTGAAGGACAGAGGACAGCAAGAGTCAACATGGAGGACAGAAGACAGCAAGAGTCAACATGGAGGACAGAAGACAGCAAGAGTCAACATGGAGGACAGAAGAAAGCAAGATTCAACATGGAGGACAGAGGACAGCAAGAGTCAACATGGAGGACAGAAGACAGCAAGAGTCAACATGGAGGACAGAGGACAGCAAGAGTCAACATGGAGGACAGAAGACAGCAAGAGTCAACATCATCCTAAGGACAGAAGACACAAAAGAGACAACATGGAGGACAGAGGACAGCACGAGTCAACATGGAGGACAGAAGACAGCAAGAGTCAACATGGAGGACAGAAGACAGCAAGAGTCAACATCATCCTAAGGACAGAAGACACAAAAGAGACAACATGGAGGACAGAAGACACAAAAGAGACAACATGGAGGACAGAGGACAGCACGAGTCAACATGGAGGACAGAGGACAGTAAGAGTCAACATCATCCTGCAGGACAGAAGACACAAAAGAGACAACATGGAGGACAGAGGACAGCACGAGTCAACATGGAGGACAGAGGACAGCAAGAGTCAACATGGAGGACAGAAGACAGCAAGAGTCAACATGGAGGACAGAAGACAGCAAGAGTCAACATCATCCTAAGGACAGAAGACACAAAAGAGACAACATGGAGGACAGAAGACACAAAAGAGACAACATGGAGGACAGAGGACAGCACGAGTCAACATGGAGGACAGAGGACAGCAAGAGTTAACATCATCCTGCAGGACAGAAGACACAAAAGAGACAACATGGAGGACAGAAGACAGCAAGAGTCAACATGAAGGACAGAGGACAGCACGAGTCAACATGAAGGACAGAAGACAGCAAGACTCAACATGAAGGACAGAAGACAGCAAGACTCAACATGGAGGACAGAAGACAGCAAGAGTCAACATGGAGGATGGAAGACAGCAAGAGTCAACATGAAGGACGGAAGACAGCAAGAGTCAACATGGAGGACAGAAGACAGCAAAAGTCAACATGGAGGACAGAAGACAGCAAGACTCAACATGGAGGACAGAAGACAGCAAGAGTCAACATGGAGGACGGAAGACAGCAAGAGTCAACATGAAGGACGGAAGACAGCAAGAGTCAACATGGAGGACAGAAGACAGCAAGAGTCAACATGGAGGACAGAAGACAGCAAGAGTCAACATGAAGGACGGAAGACAGCAAGAGTCAACATGGAGGACAGAAGACAGCAAGAGTCAACATGAAGGACGGAAGACAGCAAGACTCAACATGGAGGACGGAAGACAGCAAGAGTCAACATGGAGGACAGAAGACAGCAAGAGTCAACATGGAGGACGGAAGACAGCAAGAGTCAACATGGAGGACAGAAGACAGCGAGAGTCAACATGGAGGACAGAAGACAGCAAGAGCCAACATGGAGGACGGAAGACAGCAAGAGTCAACATGGAGGACAGAAGACAGCAAGAGTCAACATGGAGGACGGAAGACAGCGAGAGTCAACATGAAGGACGGAAGACAGCAAGAGTCAACATGGAGGACGGACAGGACAGGAGGACAAAGTGAGTGTAAGGTAAGGGTCTCCCGCTCATGTCCAGCGAGACAGAACTTCTGATGTGTCCACACATGAGGAAGTAAAGTGTGCTCTGAGTGGCTCCACTTGCTCATTCTACAGGACATGGCAACCATTTTGAAATTACATGGCAAGTTAGAAACTGTGAACTCTTCCCTCACTGATGCATCTGTTTGTATTTATTTGAACTGAATTAGAACACAGATTTACTAAAGTCAACCATGACTCACATTTATCTCAACCTTCTTATGTGTTGTTGTTGTTGTTGTTGTTGTTGTTGTTGTTGTTGTTTTCAACCATCTGTTTGTCTATCATTTTAAATGTTTTTTGTACTATTAATCTTGTCTTATTGTTTTTTATCAAAAATAAATTGCACACCTGTTTTTTGTTGTCTTTGACACTGTATGAGGTAAGGTAAGTTTATTTATAAAGCACATGTTCAGACACAGAGGCAATTCAAAGTGCTTTACATTAACACTTAAGAAGAAGACAGCAGAGAGGAACACCATAAATAAACACAATGGAATAACAGATTCATAAAAACCATGCGTAAAAGAGAGAGTTTAAAAACAACATTGTAAATACGATAGGTGCTAAAACAAGTCAAAAGACTTCTGGGTAGGCAGATTGAAGAAGTAATGTTTTTAGACTTGACTTAAAGGAACTCAGCGTTGGTGAAGACCTCAGAGTTTCTGGAAGTTTGTTCATTTGTGGGGAGCATAACAACTAAAGGCAGCCTCGGCGTGTTTGTATGTGTGTGTAGTTTCTCTCACTCATTGTCCTCTCGATCGGCCTTCATCACTGCATCATCTTCCACACCTGCAGCGCTGAGGAGACATCAACACATCGAGACATGAATACAAGAAGTTCATGACTGTATCGGCCTCTGTTTTACTTTCCCAAATCTAGTTGTTGGAAGTATTTGCTTCATCCCTAAAGGTAACACAGACTCAGAGCACCAGTGATATAGTGGTGCAGGAATGTTGTATTTATGTGTTGGTCCCTGAAGGCAGCATCTCCCTGGTCCAATGGGATTTCTCCATGTGATTTCGGATTATGTCAGAAAGTGATCTCTGTGGCAAACAAATGTTTTGTCCAGCAGGATAGTCTCCACATAATAACACCACTTTATGGTTTCTGAATTAAAAAGCTAACATTGGGCTATAAAGGAACTACAGCACGGTCACATGACTTCACGTCACCAGCGCTGACTTATGTCCGGGTTTAGGACTCATTGCCTCACCACTTAAATCCCCGCCCAGAGTCTCTCTCTCTCCTGGACTCCTTCCTGCCAACCACTCATTCTGGCTTTCGCTTGGTCACACCTTTGTTTTGGCATACTACACTTAATGAACATTATGCTCACCCATTCGGCTTTACATTACTATACTGACATACACATTTCATATCAGTAGTTATGTCTTTATTTCTTTATTACACTCTGGTATCACCACTTCTACTGCAGTCAAAGATCTGAGGACTTCTTCCACCGCACACCAGACCCTAAACAGATCACACACATGTAAAGTCTGTCAGCAGCAGATGGACATGTCTGTTACCTGAGGTGTGACATAGGGGTGCTGAGCTCTGGTTCTGGAGTTGTGATAATTCGGGGGATGTTCAGGTTTGTTTCCTGCCCTTCCTCCCAGTCCACATCCTCCACCCTCAGCACTGGAGCTCCACCCAAACCCTGAGCACCGCTTCCTGCAGGACGGAGCAGAAACACTGAAGGACTTCAAGTAACGTCTGCATTCTGAGGTACTTTATATTTGTCTCTGAGATACTCTTCATCTCAGAGACAAATTTAATGATCTATTGCTACCACTGAATTTGATGAATTTAATGTTTTTCAGATCACAAAAAGATAATTAATTAGCTGGATAGCGGCCCATTATATCTGTAACCAGGGTAGTGTGAAAGCATGGAGCAATTAGCAAGCTAGCAACCTACCTAGCCAGGCAATACATTACTTAACAACCTAATTCCTGATCCACAGACTGATGTTACATTAAGGAAGGTAACAGTATGTGGCGTTTTTATATGTACAAAAGTGGTGGGGCACAACGTAGATGTCTATATATAAGCTTCTGCAGTGAGGTTCATGGCTGGTGAGGCTCCGACTCTTCAGGTTTACAAAAATTATATTTTGACCTAAATCAAAATATAATATTATTTTCAAAAGCTTTTTTTGTCTGATGCTTCGATTAATTTTAAACAGACAGTTCAACAGAAGGATACCCAAAAAATGTAATTTTATCATTTAAATATTGAATTGTTCTCTCTTAGTAAGATCCCATTTTCAATAAAATTGCGGTCTTACCTTGACTTGAAGATGAAGTCCATGCTATCCTTCTGGACAAAAATCTCTATTACTTTTTTGTAAAAGTCCTCCTTATCTTCTTGTAGTTTCAAAAGTCTATCATAAATCTAATCGATAGATTTATGATTCGAAAATTATAAAAGTAGGGTAGACATGCGGATATTATCCGGCTGAACAAAACGTACATTTATCTAACAGGTTTGTTTCCCACATACCTTATTTGGAGCTATTTTCTAAAATCCTATGGAGAAATCTCATTGCTTTTTTGTGGAGGGAAGCCATGCGCAGCTTACTTCCGGGTTTTAGGATGCGTCACTGCAGCTCTCTCGTCTCCTCTTCACACACCACACTTTTTGCGGCACACGTACTTACAGCCAATCAGCTCTGAATGATGTGAGATGACGTATGGTGGGGATGGCAGCACTATGCCCCCATGGTCATTATTTTTTTGCCACACACATTAAATAGAAAAATACTCTGAGCATGCGTAGTGTAGTTTTTACAGTCACCATTGACTTAGACAGTGAGAGGGAGGGGCAGGATCGGGTTTTGTCCCACATGGCTCTAAACAGCTCAATAGGCACACACTCTAGACACTAATTAGAAGAACACAGACTAAAACAGCAATGTACAGACGAATCAGATGATTAAACATGATCTTAAAATATATTTAATTAATTTTTTGCATGTTTTTGTAATAATTATTTTTAATACTTTCTGCTGACACTAGGTGGGGCTGTGCCCCTAATGACCAGTCGCCACTGCCAATAATACAACAATATTTACACCACGTTACTTAGTTAATATTACTGGAGTTTTGTAAACAAAAAACAGATAGAACATTTGAAAGTGGGGTTACTTACTGACTGTTAAGTCTGTTAAGTCGTAGAACAAAACTTCAACTTGTGTTAACCACAGATCTTAATTCAGGCTAACAACCAAAAACACATTCAGGAAACCATTGACCTCCAGACCAGGGGACAGGAAGTGGTATAAAGCTGACTAATTTAGAGGTTTTAGGACTCATTCCTGCACCACTTTACAGAAAAAGGTACAACAGAAGCACAAACATCCACTTCCTGTAAGATCACCTGTTTAGCTCGTGGTGTAGCCGTGCAGAGCAGCAGTGCATGATGGGAGTCTTGATAATAAGGAACCACGGGTTTATTTTGGCACGTTAAAGGTTTTTTCTATCTACTTCCAATGAGGTGACTAAAAGGTTTCTCTAGAGGGTCTGCTGCAGGAGGAGGGCGGGGCTAAGGCTGCTGAGGATGCTGGGAGTTGGAGTTAAGGCGTGCTAAGCGGCTAGCGATGCTCGTGCAGCACTGCCGCGCCTGTGAGGAAAGCTGCTGCAGCTCCTGGGTCAGCATGGCGAGCTCCGGAGGGGGGGTCGGCATGGACAGCGTGGGGGGGGGCCAGGTTATGGTCGTGCATCAACTTCCTGCCGCGCTCCAGGCACTCAACAGCGAGCGGGAACCGAAGCAGAAAACTCTTTATCGGGATACAAACCTCGGGAACTGCACGGAGAAACAGTCAAACATTTACAGAGACCAGGGGATCTTTAGATATACAGCAAGTAAATATAAACTTCATGTAAAAATATAGGCTGACAAACTACGCATTTGCTTGACTGCTACCAAAAATATCCCAAATTGGGATCAATAAAGTACTTTTAATGTTCATCAGATGTAAATTAGAACATTAATTATCTAACTAGCGGACCATTATTTCTGAAACCAGTGTAGCATAAAAGCATGGTGCCATTAGCAAGCTAACAAGCTATCTAGCCGGCTGCTGAATAATAACCGCGGTAAAAACGAGTCTCAAATGAGATTCAAACGTTTAAAATGAACATTTAAATACAAAATAAACCTTATTCTAAAAGATTGATAGAGAAACCAGAAACTAAAGCTATCTATTCTCGCCTGTGTTATTCGTGAGTGATGAAGCTGGTTTGAGATCATACTTCCTGTCCTTACCTCCACATTCACTTTCTGCAGCTTCGACCTAAAGAAGAAGAAAAAACATACATTTTCAGGCTTGTTCAAAGATGCTATTAAAGCACTGCCAATCTGTGGCTTAGTAGCCTATTTACACTAGTGTTTTAGGCTATACGTTTTTATCATTTGAACTACAGTAAGCTATATTTCATTTCATTTCACAGTATCATAGTTTATTTGAACTATACACAAAACATGTATTTGATGTACAGAACGGCCTTTGAAAAGGTCAATCCAGTCAATGGTGAAGCATTAAAAGACAAATATCGATCAGATGTTAATCTGTAAAACAATACAACACCTGACAGATGATATCATTAACCAGGTTTCCTCTTTACTGGCTAATCATTTATTGGGTATCTGGGCAAATGTGCTCTTCAAAAGTTAAAGAATACTTTTACTTTTTCTTTGCCCATTTTGTCCATCGGTAACAGTTGCAGCCTGTCCACACAGCGGCTTTGGAAAAAGCTTGCCGGCGGGCGTGTCTGAAGCTCGACCAACAACCAATCACATGAATCTCCCGCCCCTGACACACAAGCTGCGGTTTGATTGGCTAGAGCTTGTACTGGCATATGATTTGATTGGCTGACGCTTCCACCGAAAGCTTCAGAAGCTTCAAAAGTTGAACATTGCTCAACTTTTGCAGCCTGAAACGCCAGGAAAGTTCCGCTCTGCTTCCCACAATGCAGTTCGGTGAAAAGTGACGTCACCCCATTCAAAGTGAATGGGCAGAAGCGTTGGAAGAAGCTTCCAACGCCGCTGTGTGGACGGGCCGTTACTCTGCACACATCAGGCAACCTGGTGACTACAATGATATTATAACTGATAGTAATGATGGAAAGATCAATTAGATATAGTCATAATTAACTAGAACTATCCTCAAACTCAATGTCTTCTTGAAACAAAGTTCGACAGGAACAGTTAGGAGTTGTTGCTGGATCTAAAGACTGTATCACCTGAAGTGTGGGGGGGGTTTCTGGAGGTTGTGACTCTGGCTCTGGGATGATCTGTTCGGGACTTTCCAGATCTTTCTTCTCCGATGCCGGCTCCACATGAGTTGACGGAGGAGGAGGAGTCTCTTCTTCAGCTGGACTGACCTCCTTCAGACTCCTGGTGAAGAAGAGGGGCAGAATAAACCTCCTGAAGATCTGATCCATCCGACCTGCTGCTGGAAATTAACTGCTTGGCTTGTATCACTGATAAGGTGTGTTCAATAGGTGAAGCACAATTAAGAGGAGTTGCAAATTACTACAAGTCAACAAAATAGATCAAGTAGGTTCGAACAAGACAAGGCGAATAAACACCACAGAATTTATGATATCCTACATTTCTTGACAAGGTTTTTACAACCCCCAAATGCTCAATGAAAGCTCAGTAGGAAAGTAAGATCTCTGATTTAAACACTCCTCTTCTTCAATACTAAATGCCTCTCTGATCACCATGGTGTCACGTGACCAGAACGTTGTAATTCCACCGTTTGGCCACTACGAAGATTTGCTTCAAAGACTGCCGGTCTTCCTTTGTTAGGAACAGAAACTCCAAATAGAGAGGGTGCTGGTGTGTGCTTCATGAAGATGGACTTACTTTGGTTCCTCGTTTTCCTCCTCCTGGATGTTGGGTAGTCTGTAGAGAACAAGCAGCAAGACAGTGTCTCAGGTCAGTGTGTATGATGTGTGTTTTTCCCTGTAGGTACTTGTAGCATCTAGATCAGGGGTATTCAACTAAAATTCAACGAGATCCAGTTAGAGAAAATCTCCCCATGCAAAGGCCGGAACACCAAAATGTGTAACTTCTGAAATGGTGTCAGGGCCATTCTCACACACACATGCAGGCTCATTGGTTAGCCTCGGTTATTCTGCACTGGAACGATATTTAGTTTTAGTGACCTCAGTTCTGACTTGAGAGGGAATGTTTGGTCAAACACTTTGTGTTTTGTCTCATAGTGGCGTGTTGTCTCTTTTAATGAGCGCCACGGTCTCTGAACAAATGAGACACACTGGCTCTGTGCTCCCAGTGGCAGGAGGAACATGAACGAGTCCACTCAGGGTTAAAAGCTCTGTTCTCACTGTCCACGTTCCTCTTCTTGGAGAGCGCCATGTGTCATTATGTGTCTCTCCCTGTCTGCCGCTAACTCGCCTGTTCACTCTCCTCTCCGCTTCTCTCCCTGTATCGCTAATTATTCTCTTCACTCACTTTCCTCTCCGCTTCTCTCTGCCGCCCTCTCATCTCTTCTTCTGTGTTTCTCTCCCTGTATCTCTCTTTACATTACATTGCATTTAGCTGACGCTTTTGTCCAAAGCGACTTACAATAAGTACATTCGACCAGGAAGACACAACCTTGAAGAAAACAGAATCATATAAGTATATCAGGTTTCATAGAGCCAAACATTTCAAGTGCTACTCAACTGGCTTTAGGTAATCCAGTCCTTTATTAGTATAAAAGTGCTTCGTTAATCGTTCTAACGCTCGAAGTGGAGTCGAAAGAGATGAGTTTTCAGTTTGCGCCGGAAGATGTGCAAGCTATCTGCCGTCCTGATGTCAATGGGGAGCTCATTCCACCATCTTGGAGCCAGGATAGCAAACCCACGTGTTTTCGCCGATGGGAACTTGGGTCCCCCTCACAGCGAGGGCGCAACGAGTCGTTTGGCTGATGCAGAGCGTAGTGCACGCGCTGGGGTGTACGGTTTAACCATGTCCTGGATGTAGGAAGGGCCAGATCCATTCGCAGCACGGTAAGCAAGTACCAGTGTCTTGAAGTGGATTCTAGCAGTTACCGGAAGCCAGTGAAGGCAGCGGAGGAGCGGAGTGGTGTGGGAGAATTTAGGAAGGTTGAAAACCAGACGAGCCGCTGCATTCTGGATGAGCTGCAGAGGTCGGATGGCACATGCAGGTAGACCAGCCAGGAGGGAGTTGCAGTAGTCTAGGCGTGAGATGACGAGAGCCTGGACCAGAACCTGAGTCGCTTTCTGAGTCAGCTGGGGACGTATCTTCCTGATGTTGTAAAGCGTGTATCTGCAGCAACGGGTTGTAGCAGCGATGTTTGCAGTGAAGGACAGGTTGTTATCTAGGGTCACACCCAGATTCCTTGCAGTCTGAGTCGGGGAAACAACTGAGGTGCCGATGTTGATTGTCAGGTCAAGAGTTGGACAATCTTTTCCCGGGAGGAAGAGCAGCTCAGTCTTGTCAAGGTTGAGCTTGAGGTGGTGAGCAGACATCCACTGAGAGATGTCAGCTAGACAAGCAGAGATGCGTGCGACGACCTGGGTCTCTGAGCGGGGAAAGGACAGAATTAATTGGGTGTCGTCAGCGTAGCAGTGGTAAGAAAAACCATGCGGGCTAATGACTGATCCGAGCGAGTTTGTGTACAAGGAGAAGAGGAGGGGACCAAGAACAGAGCCCTGAGGGACCCCCGTAGTTAATTGACAAGGGTCGGACTCAGACCCTCTCCAAGTCACCCTGTAGGTACGGTCTTTCAGGTATGAGGTGAGGAGGGAAAGTGCAGAGCCTGAAACTCCAAGTTTTTGGAGAGTGCGAAGGAGGATCTGATGATTCACCGTGTCGAATGCAGCAGACAGGTCCAACAGGATGATGACAGAGGAGAGGGATGCAGTTTTGGCAGTGTGCAGTTCCTCCGTGACAGCAATGAGAGCAGTTTCTGTGGAGTGACCTGCCTTGAAACCAGACTGGTGCGGATCCAGAAGGTTGTTCTGATTGAGATAACAGGAGAGTTGTTTAAAGACAGCGCGTTCAAGTGATTTAGACAGGAACGGGAGGAGAGAGACAGGCCTGTAGTTTATAACATCAGACGGGTTGAGAGTGGGTTTCTTAGGAGAGGGTTTACTCTTGCCTCCTTGAGACTGTTTGGAAAGTGACCAGAAGTTAGAGAAGTGTTGATGAAATGGGTGAGAAACGGTAGAATATCAGGAGCGATAGTCTGAAGGAGGTTTGAAGGGATAGGGTCCAGAGGACAGGTGGTAGGGCGGGCAGAGGTAATGAGGGTAAGAACCTCACTTGGAGAGAGAGGGGAAAAGGAGGTTAGTGTGTTGGTGGAAGGAGGGTCTGGTGACCCAGCGGTGAGTAAAGGGGAGTCAGAAAAAGAAGAGCGAATATCATTAACCTTTTTTTCAAAGTGGGTAACAAAGTCGCTTGACAGAAGTGAGGAGGGGGGAGGAGCTTTTGGAGGGTCCAAGAGGGTGGAGAAGATGGAAAATAGTTTTTTAGGATTGGAATAGGAAGATTGGATCTTATCTTGAAAGAAAGTGCTTTTTGCCTGAGAGATCGAAGCAGAGAAAGAGGAGAGGAGAGCTTGATAGGTTAGGAGGTCGTCACGGTGTTTGGATTTCCACCATTTCCGCTCTGCTGCCCTAAGGACGGTTCTATTAGCACGCAGTGCATCATTTAGCCAGGGAGCCGGAGGGGACTGACGAGCCTGCCGAGATGTCAGAGGACAGAGCGAGTCCAGAGTGGATGAGAGAGTAGAGAGGAGAGTTTCTGCAGCAGAGTTTGGAGGCAGTAGTTGGAACGAATCAGAGGAAGGGAGGGCTGAGAGCACCGACGAGGCAAAGGTAGAGGGAGAGAGGGAGCGAAGGTTACGGCGGACAAGTGTAGGATGGGAAGAGATTAGTTTGTTATGTTTGGAAAGGGATAGAGAGAATGAAATGAAGAAGTGATCGGATGTGTGGAGCGGGTTTACAGAGAGGTTAGAAGTAGCGCAGTTCCTTGAGAATATGAGATCAAGGACATTGCCAGCTTTATGAGTCGGTGGGGACGGAGAGAGTGAGAAAGCAAAGGCGGTTAACAGAGATGTTAGTTCGTCTATCTTCCCCATCTGGAGGTTGAAGTCTCCGAGAAGTACAAGCGGGAGGGCCAGTTTCAGGGATGTGTGAGAGGAGATGATCTAATTCCTCCAAGAAGTCCCCCAAGGCGCCTGGTGGACGGTAGAGAACAACAATGGTTAACTGTATAGGATGGGGTTACTGTGACGGCATGGAACTCAAAGGTGGAAGGAGTAAAGTTAGGTAGCTTGAAGAGGGAAAAGCTCCATTTGGGAGAGAGCAGGAGACCAGTGCCACCTCCTCTGCCAGTGGGTCTGGGTGTATGGGAGAAGGAATATGCAGTGGAGAGAGCTGCTGGGGTGGATGTGTTGGATGGAGTAATCCAGGTCTCAGTGAGAGCAAGGAAATCCAGAGACTGCAGGGAGGTGTAGCCAGAGATGAAGTCAGCCTTAGGAACAGCTGACTGGCAGTTCCACAGGCCACCTGAAACTAGATGTTGGATCTCAGTGGAGCACGTGGGATAGACGAGAGCAGGCCGGTTATATCGATTACGAGATACACGGGGCCAGTGATAATTGCGAGAAGACACATGAACAGGAATGGAGAAAATACACATGATTATAGCATGAGGGGCTAAACAACAAAAGTAAAAATTAAAAACGCCAACGATACTTAGCTCAATCAAAGTAGGATTTGCCTCCTCTTTGCCTCCCTCGTGACTCCTGTAGGACTCTAATGTCTTTGTCAGTCTTACTCCTGTAGGACTCTAATGTCTTTGTCAGTCTTAGCCTGTCTGCCGCTGAAGCTGACGCTCCAGGAAAGAGCTACCCGAAATGGACGCCTGATTGCTCAGTTCTCACAGCTGAAGTTAATTAGTTAACTATCTACAGCTGATGGGCGACAATAGACTGGCCCTGCCTATGTTAATAATGCAGGCTTGAGTGCTGAGAGCTGTAAAGCAGGTTTCGCCTGAGCAGATCTGAGATTTAAAATCTCTCAAAAGCGATTTAGCCATTTAAGCTACAGTAACAATTATACAGAGTCGAATAAATGAAACCGAGAAGTCTAATTAAACAAGAATATAACTTACAGTGGTTGCTGCGTCAATAGGTAATGTTGTCACCGGGTCCAGATGCACACTGAGTTCATCAGTTTCTAAATGCGGTATTTAAATGCTTTTTGAGCTAAAGGATGACTGAGTCACGCAGTTCTACTTCACGCAATCAATAGACTGGCCCTGCCTATGTTAATAATGCAGGCTTGAGTGCTGAGAGCTGTAAAGCAGGTTTCGCCTGAGCAGATCTGAGATTTAAAATCTCTCAAAAGCGATTTAGCCGTTTTAGCTACAGTAACAATTATACAGAGTCGAATAAATGAAACCGAGAAGTCTAATTAAACAAGAATATAACTTACAGTGGTTGCTGCGTCAATAGGTAATGTTGTCACCGGGTCCAGATGCACACTCTCATCTCTCATCTCTTCTTCTGTGTTTCTCTCCCTGTATCTCTCTCTCATCTCTTCTTCTGTGTTTCTCTCCCTGTATCTCTCTCTCATCTCTTCTTCTGTGTTTCTCTCCCTGTATCTCTCTCTCATCTCTTCTTCTGTGTTTCTCTCCCTGTATCTCTCTCTCGTCTCTTCTTCTGTGTTTCTCTCCCTGTATCTCTCTCTCATCTCTTCTTCTGTGTTTCTCTCCCTGTATCTCTCTCTCATCTCTTCTTCTGTGTTTCTCTCCCTGTATCTCTCTCTCATCTCTTCTTCTGTGTTTCTCTCCCTGTATCTCTCTCTCATCTCTTCTTCTGTGTTTCTCTTCCTGTATCTCTCTCTCATCTCTTCTTCTGTGTTTCTCTCCCTGTATCTCTCTCTCATCTCTTCTTCTGTGTTTCTCTCCCTGTATCGCTCACCCGTCTCTTTCGCCCCCTGTCGGCGGCGGTTAAAATAGAATCGCCCCGTCAAAATTGAAATCCCCTATTAATGTATTGATTATAGGTCCGGGTCCGTATAGGTCGGCGTCTGAGTCCGGGTCCGGATCCGGACCGCGGTCCGCCTGTTGCCGACCCCTGATCGAGTGTATGTGCAAGTGTTATTCGTCTCAAAGTGAATTTGTTTCAGATAAAGCCTCTCCTAAAACAGAAAACGAATCAGCCTATGTGTTGAGATACTTGCTTGAGATGCAGACTCATAATAAGGGTGTTCTTTGTCAGTTCTAGAAAAGCGTGTGTGTTTGAGATACAGGGTTTCAACCCGACAGCGTGTGTATAAATGTGCCGTTTTGTGACTTACGGCTCGTTGCACACTGGCACTGTCTCTACAACGAGTTTAGCCGACTGCTCCGCCTCCAGCTGCCGGACGGCCTCCTCCGCTGCCGTCCTGGCGATCTCCTCTGCGACGCGAGCCTCCTCCAGCTGGTGCTGCTGAAGCCTGTAACACAGCGAAGAGCTCGGATGCTCAACAACATTCAAGGGAGTTACACTTTGGAAAGAAACCATGCAAGTGTCCCAGAAAGCTGCACCATTAATGACATCCGACAATAAGAACGGCCTTCAGTCGCTGAGATGTCTTCCTTCGAACACACTTTTCAAAGCAACAATCATTAGACATTTCATTCTTAGTGCACTTGTTGGACAGAAGGAAGGGAGTCATTTACCCAGAGGAAGTCGTCACTAACCTTTCCTCCATGTTGTCCTGACCCTCCTCTTCAGCCTCCTCCTTGGCGCTGTCCATCACTGGAGGGGATTGATCCACCTGGGTCTCTGCGTTTCTGCATTCCAACTATCCACAGGATATAACATTTTCAAGAGTACTATTTTAGCACCTTTCTTAAAATATCCGTTACTGTAGGTATGCACTGATGTCTCAGATGTCAATACAGATGTTTAGAGTAACAATTTAGCCTTTGCCGATGTTTTTGTGTCAGGGAAACGTATACATCTACAGATCTAAATCTATTCCTCTCAGCCAAATGATTTTCTGGTATTACCATTTTAATTATCCTGGTAGAACTTTGAGGAGTATTAGGAGCATGGTTTCCCAAGCCAAAATGCTATATCCACCAAGTGAGTACCATGGTACCCTTTAGAGGGACATTTTAACTACCCTGGAACTCCCTCAGTACCCTTCCAACAGTGTTCTGTGATAAACCAAGGTACCTACACTGTTTTCTACCTTTCCTTGTACCTTTGTAACTGAAGCTCTATTGTACCTGCTCTGGTCTCGTACCCTCTAAAGAGCCATGGTGCAGACCCTACAAAAGGACATAGTACTCGTCCTATTAGGGAACACATGAACTACTTATGTACTACGATGGTACACTTCCAAGTTGACTCTAGTTAACAATTTAACACGCATGTCTACTACCCGCTGCCTCACAGACCTGCTGCACCACCACACCCCTTCCCGCTGCCTTCGCTCATCAGAAGCCAACCTCCTATCCATCCCCACCCGCACCAATCACCGGACCTGGGGGGACAGAGCCTTCTCCGTCGCTGCCCCCTCCCTCAGGAACTCACTCCCACAACCCATCAGAGACTGCACTGACCTCACCACCTTCAAAACACTCACAACAACTCACCTCTTCAATCTGGCTTTTAATGTGTGATTGTTTTTGTATTATTTAACTTTAACTTTAACTATATACACTGAACAAAAATAACTCTACACCCCTTTTGTTTTTGCTCCCATTTTTCATGAGATGAACTCAAAGATCTAAAACATTTTCTATATACACAAAATAACCATTTCTCTCAAATATTGTTCACAAATCTGAAACAATCTGTGATAGTGAGCACTTCTCCTTTGCCGAGATAATCCATCCCACCTCACAGGTGTGGCATATCAAGATGCTGATTAGACAGCATGATTATTGCACAGGTGAGCCTTAGGCTGGCCACAATAAAAGGCCACTCTGAAACGTGCAGTTTTGCTTTATTGGGGGGGTCTGGGGGGGGTCCGAAAACCAGTCAGTATCTGGTGTGAGGGGTAGGGTTAGGGGTAGTGTTAGGGCAGTGGTTCTCAAACTTTTTCTGTCAGGCCCCCCCTTTGGAGAAAAAAAAAAAGTCGGGCCCCCCCAACACACATAGTCAGGCTCAGTGGCGGCGCCAGAGACTTTTTTTGGGGGTGCTGTGGGGTAGCTTGACGTTTCATAGAGGGTGCTCAAACATTTAGGGTTTCCCATTAATGTACCGGTCGCTACAGTGGAATTTTCTACTGCAACACTCTCCACACGCACATACACAGTGTTCCCGCAACTGTTACAACGAAGGCTCGATAATCAGCTCACGGCATATAGGTGTAAGCAGGGGTAACGTGCTATTTTTATAGGTGGTGTGTGGACACATTGAGAGCAAAATGAAGAGCTCTATGGATACCTCTCTCAACACCCAGATGAAACGGAACTGTAAACAGATTTACTTTTTCTTTATGGATATTTTACAAATCACCCTTTTAAACTTTATTCTTTTTTTAATGTCATATAGTATTTCATACCTGTTTTTCATTTATTCTCTTATTTTTTTATAACTATAATGATCATATAAATGTGTGCCTCGGAAATAATTGTTTACATTAATGGTGACCAAAACGTTTGAGACCCACTGAGATAACAATGAGAGAGTCCTTTAGCTCACTGAGTCTCTCAGTCTGACAGGAGAGGACTCTCCTCCACTTTGTTGTTGAAAAAACTCCTTATATCCGTTAGCGTAGCTTGTTAGCTCCAGAAGCTAAGAACAACGATCTCCGGTACCGGTGCGCTCTCTCTCTCTCTCGCGCACACAAAATGGCTCATTCCACACACACAGAGACCCAGACGTAATAGTACTGTACTGTATCATATTATTTTCGAATCAATAATTTTTATATAACCATTTTTTCTCCTGGTCTCTCGCGCCCCCCCTGGCATGCCTCTGCGCCCCCCAGGGGGGGCGCGCCCCACACTTTGAGAACCACTGGGTTAGGGTAATGTTGTGAATCGAGTGGCCCATGGTGGTGGTGGGTTATGGTATTATGGACGACGAACACAGGCCACTCGATTCACAACATTACCCTAACCCTCGCAATAATCATGCAAAACCAGAACTGAGTAATAATCCCCGGTGTAGAGTAAGGCATGTGAAATAATAACTGAGATATCAAAGATGATTGCATCAAGATAAGTGGTTGTCATTGTTCTGTGACTCCTCTCTCACCTTCTTCTCATTCTGCTTGTCGTCGATGTTCTCGTCCTTTTCCTCTTCCACGTCCTCCTCCACGTCCTCCTCCACGTCCTCTTCCACGTCCTCCTCCACGTCCTCTTCCACGTCCTCCTCCACGTCCTCCTCCATGTCCTCCAGCACCAGATCGCTCTCCTTCTGCGCGATGCTGACTGTACGCCACACGGCAGGGGAAACATGTGTGTGTTTCATTTTGTACTGATTGTATTTACCTGTTATTTGAAGTGAATATTTGTTTTTAGGATGACTTTCAACATCTGTCCAGGGACTACAGATAGCCTGTTGGCTAACTCTGGCGCATTTACAGAAATGTCAATGTGCACTGTCCCTGTCATAAATATATATAAATTAAATAACTTTGTGTGCTTGCCACTTTGAGGAATTCAAAATACAAACACAGGATAACATCTAATGCATCTGCAATACAACCACCGTTTATAAAACACGCCGGTAAAACTGCACATGTCTGGACATGATGGGACAACAGATGTTTGGTAGAAGGGTTGATTGGTTGGTTGATTGGTTGGTTGGTTGATTGATTGGTTGATTGGTTGATTGGTTGGTTGATTGATTGGTTGGTTGATTGATTGGTTGATTGGTTGGTTGATTGGTTGGTTGATTGATTGATTGGTTGATTGATTGGTTGGTTGATTGATTGGTTGATTGATTGGTTGATTGGTTGATTGATTGGTTGATTGGTTGATTGATTGGTTGGTTGATTGGTTGGTTGATTTATTGGTTGATTGGTTGATTGATTGGTTGGTTGATTGGTTGATTGATTGGTTGACTGATTGGTTGGTTGATTTATTGGTTGATTGGTTGATTGGTTGATTGATTGGTTGGTTGATTGGTTGATTGATTGGTTGACTGATTGGTTGGTTGATTTATTGGTTGGTTGATTGGTTGGTTGATTGGTTGATTGGTTGACTGATTGGTTGGTTGATTTATTGATTGGTTGGTTGATTGGTTGATTGATTGGTTGATTGATTTATTGGTTGGTTGATTGGTTGGTTGATTGGTTGATTGATTGGTTGACTGATTGGTTGGTTGATTTATTGATTGGTTGATTGGTTGGTTGATTGATTGATTGGTTGATTGGTTGACTGATTTATTGGTTGATTGGTTGATTGGTTGATTGATTGGTTGATTGATTGGTTGATTGATTGGTTGATTGGTTGATTGATTGATTGATTGGTTGGTTGATTGATTGGTTGACTGATTTATTGGTTGATTGATTGATTGGTTGGTTGATTGATTGGTTGGTTGATTGATTGATTGGTTGACTGATTTATTGGTTGGTTGATTGATTGGTTGGTTGATTGATTGATTGGTTGATTGGTTGACTGATTTATTGGTTGATTGATTGGTTGATTGATTGGTTGACTGATTGGTTGGTTGATTTATTGGTTGATTGGTTGATTGATTGGTTGATTGATTGGTTGGTTGATTGGTTGATCGGTTGATTGATTGATTGGTTGATTGGTTGGTTGATTGGTTGGTTTGTTGATTGGTTGATTGATTGATTGGTTGATTGGTTGGTTGATTGGTTCGTTGATTGGTTGATTGGTTGATTGGTTGATTGATTGATTGGTTGATTGGTTGGTTGATTGGTTGATCGGTTGATTGATTGATTGGTTGATTGGTTCGTTGATTGGTTGATTGATTGATTGGTTGATTTATTTATTGGTTGATTGGTTGGTTGATTGGTTAATTGATTGATTGGTTGGTTGATTGGTTGAATGATAATGTAACACTCCCTGTATGTTCTGTTGTACCAATGAACAAAAAAACACTCAACAAAGCGTTACGTTCTTCTACATTTCTTTATTTTCATAAACAAAGAGCAAAATGCTTTAACATTTTTCAAAGTTTGCATTTATTTAGCTGCAAAAGCTTAAAAAAAACCGAAGTTGTCCTGAACTATAAGAAGTCAACATTTCAGTTTCTAAAAGCTTATTGAGTTCCGGGTATAAAGTCTGTGCTGTGGCAGCTCTACCGCAGCATGCAGATTAACGCTGCAGGCTCATCATTGGCAACACCAGAGAGAAATCGGAAGAAATCTAATTAAAGTACATTTCATGCTTCACTGTCCGGATCTTTTGTTCAGCAATATCAAGTCAATTCTGAATCAAAGTCGTGCAGAAATTGAAATTGCTGCAGCTTTGTGGAGACGCTACAGGCCTGATTTATGGAGTCAGTGTTTTATAAACGTCTGTCTGTCCTCCAGTTAAAGTGAGCTGCTGTCAGTGTGAGCGACTCCCTTCTCCTTTTATTTTAAGGGGCTCTTGCCGCCTTATCCTCCTGAAACAGAAGGAGAAGAGCAGCCGAGTTAAAGTCCGCTCAGCACCGCAGCAGCCAGGCTAATGCACAGCTGATAAAAAAACCATCAAAAGATAAATTAACCAACAAACCCATCAATTAACCAATCAACTCATCAATCAATCAACCAACCAATGAACGTGCTGTTGCAAACTGTGGCTGTATCAACGGTCAGCAGAAACAACGTTTTTTTAAAGCGTCAATCTCAAAGGTTTTACATGATGAAAGTATTGCAATATTTATGAACTTGCAGTACTACTACCTACATAAAACAATGGATTAAAGTACAGTAAAGTATGTCCTGCTAAAGCTTCACATTAAAAGCATTTGAATGACTTGTATTGTGAAGTCGTCACAGGAAATGCGTAGTGTTTGTTCTGTATTTTATCATTAAATAAAGCTGGCTAAATAAATCAGGACTGAAATCCTTCAGGGTCAGCCAAAGTTTGACTGACAACATATTTGCAAAGGTTTTATCTGAACACGGTATTTCTGTCCAAATTCACAGCTGCTTTTCAGCATCAGCTGTGAACAGCTTTCTGCCCAGGACCTGTACATAGGTTGTGTTTATTAAAAACTAAGAGGTATTAGAATATTTGATTAGAGGAAGGTTCTCAGCAGACTCTAACATTAGTATTACATAATGTAAGCTGTGGAAAGGATGTACTTACTGTTCTGCACCTGGTCACAGCCGGCGTCCTGCAGGAGAACACATGGGGACATTAAGTGTAAGTGCTTTATGCATTTAAACAGTCTGTATAGTGTACGTCTGATTATCCTCCATTGAGGCCAGTTCATGATCTGATGACCACATTTTGATTTAAACGTAGCAGATGAATGTGTGTGCGACTCACCAGCCTCAGAGCAGGCTGAGGAAGCATGCGGCCGACCCATCCCATAATACTGTCAACACAACAGACCAGAGTCAGGACAGAACACACTCTTACACAGGATTATCTGAGGCTGCTCGTGATGAGGGTAAATGCTGAACCTCTGATGCTATAAACGCTATGTTTCTACCTGAGGATTTAAATATCGTCCTGTATTTTGTTGCACTGTTGGAGAAGCTGGGACTTTCATTTTTTATTAACAACAACTCAATTAGATTAGATTAGATTGAACTTTATTGTCATTGCACAGAGTACTTAAAACGACGAATGCTAACCAGAGGCGCAAAACAAATGTCAATAAAGCCTATGAAACTCATATGAAAGGGTGACATTTAGTTGTTAAAGTTGTAATAAGATGCACAGAACTCTTCTAAGGGGTGTTTTTCATGGAGGATGGTCTGGATAAATAATACGTCATATATTTTATTTATATAGAGCTTTTCCCAGTGCTCAAAGACGCTCAAAGGGTTTGTTTTCGATTAGATATCAGAGTTTACCTGTGAAAGAACTCAAGGAAACTAAACACTTACTTGGCCTGCATCTCTCCTTCCTTTGAAGACCTAACGAATAGAAAAGAGAAAAATAATAATGATTAAATAATAAATAGTTCCTTTATCAAGTATAAGCAAATAAGGGACACATCTGTATTTTGTCCTTCATCTCTAAATGTCAAAGTGTAAACATTTTCCTAACATTTTCGTACAGTTTTCGGAATTTCTTTAAACTTTCTTTGCTTTATTTAGTAAATTTATCTCACAGACAGTTAATGCCATTTCCTTACATTCTTCATATATTTTTGGGTATATTTGAAAGGCATTTTCACAGATGCTGGTCCTTTTATAGGTTTATTTTTTAAACATTCCAGGTATATTTAGGAAGTGTTTTACACATTCAAGGCGATACTTTTCAGACATTCAAATATTTGTAATCAAAATGTTGTATTATTTAATGGGGTGGGTTTTAATCCTTGTCTTAATAGCCACCTCTATCGGGGTTGTGGTTTTTGACATGCCTCTCTTTGTTTCCAAACAATTAAGTGGAGATCGTGGTTGAATTAGATGAGCTTTATTGATTGGTCCAGACGGCGTATAAACAGCAGGACACATTTCTTCGCTTCATACTTAATAAAAGTTTCAGTCTCCAACAGAACAAAAAGAACACGCTCAAAGCAGCCTCCCTCTCCTCTGTCATCATCCTGTTGGACCTGTCTGCTGCATTCAACACGGTGAATCATCAGATCCTCCTTCGCACTCTCCAAGAACTTGGAGTTTCAGGCTCTGCACTTTCCCTCATCACCTCATACCTCAAAGACCGCACCTACAGGGTGACTTGGAGAGGGTCTGAGTCCGACCCTTGTCAATTAACTACAGGGGTCCCTCAGGGCTCTGTTCTTGGTCCCCTCCTCTTCTCCCTGTACACAAACTCGCTCGGATCAGTCATTAGCCCGCATGGTTTTTCTTACCACTGCTACGCTGACGACACCCAATTAATTTTGTCCTTTCCCCGCTCAGAGACCCAGGTCGTCGCACGCATCTCTGCTTGTCTAGCTGACATCTCTCAGTCGATGTCTGATCATCACCTCAAGCTCAACCTTGACAAGACTGAGCTGCTCTTCCTTCCGGGAAAAGATTGTCCAACTCTTGACCTGAACAATCAACATCGGCACCTGTGTTGTTTCACCGACTCAGACTGCAAGGAATCTGGGTGTGACCCTAGATAACAACCTGTCTTTCACTGCAAACATCGCTGCTACAACCCGTTGCTGCAGATACACGCTTTACAACATCAGGAGGATACGTCCCCAGCTGACCCAGAAAGCCACGCAGGTTCTGGTCCAGGCTCTCGTCATCTCACGCCTAGACTACTGCAACTCCCTCCTGGCTGGTCTACCTGCATGTGCCATCCGACCTCTGCAGCTCATCCAGAATGCAGCGGCTCGTCTGGTCTTCAACCTTCCTAAATTCTCCCACACCACTCCGCTCCTCCGCTCCCTCCACTGGCTTCCGGTAACTGCTAGAATCCACTTCAAGACACTGGTACTTGCGTACCATGCTGCGAATGGATCTGGCCCTTCGTACATCCAGGACATGGTTAAACCGTACACCCCAGCGCGTGCACTACGCTCTGCATCAGCCAAACGACTCGCTGCACCCTCGCTGCGAGGGGGACCCAAGTTCCCATCAGCGAAAACACGTGGGTTTGCTAGTCCTGGCTCCAAGATGGTGGAATGAGCTCCCCATTGACATCAGGACAGGCAGATAAGCTTACACACTCTTCCAGACTGAAAACTCATCTCTTTCGACTCCACTTCGAGCGATAGAATTATTAACAAAGCACTTATATACTAATAAAGGGACTGGCTTATCTAAAGCCAGTTGAGTAGCACTTGAAATGTTTTTGCTCTATGAAACCTGATGTACTTATATGATTCTGTTTTCTTCAAGTTTGTATTTTGTTGGTCGAACGCACTTATTGTAAGTCGCTTTGGATAAAAGCGTCAGCTAAATGCAATGTAATGTAAAAGACTTTTCCGTTTCCCCGTCCCATCACCCTCAGCTGTGTCCTATCAACCTACCATATATAGGCATAGCCATGCACGTGATACTGACGCACATATAACAAATAATAAGTGAGCCTTAAATTAATACATTTTGAACCATAATGTGACTCACAAAAATACCCGATAATTTACAGTTTAATCTAATTTATATTATTATTAAGCCTAACATTCAGACAATAATAACAAAAGGAAAATGGCTCTAACATTTACCTTAAACTTATTGGCCATATTCATTGAAATGTTTCACACATTTCTGGGATACTTTTATTAGCACATTTATAGAAAAGGTATGACAACTAATCCTGGAAATCTTGTTTGTGTTGTTGGTGAAAATACAACAACAATAAACAAGCATAACCCTCTTACTTTACAATTGTATCTCCCCTCTTTGAATTTTTCAAATACATAACATTTGTTTGTCCGAGATACAAATATGTACTCACTTCTCAATTTCAGGAGCTGCTTTTGTTTCTGGAGCCGGTTCTGGTGCTGTTTAAATAATCAGTACACGCAGGTTATATATATTTATTCTTAACATTAGTATGAGATGTATTCATGTGTAATGATGATTAAAAGCGGACCTTTTGCTACAGCAGGAGCTTCAGTCTTTTCCATGATGTCTGTCTTCGGCTGAGGGACGACTTTCTCTAAACCTTGTTTGATCCAGTCTATCATCCTGTAATGAACATACACATATAAACACACACACACACATATAAACACACACATATAAACACACACACATACACATATAGACACACACATATAAACACACACACACACATATAAACACACACATATAAACACACACACACACACACACACACACACACACATATAAACACGCACACACTCACCTGGGGGGGAGGAGTCTGTTGTCAGTGTGTTCCTCTCGCTCCTCCACATTGATCTGAGGCTCTGCAGGTTTTGCAGGTGCTGCCACCGACACCTGAGGAGAAACACACACTCACATTATATCACAACATCAATATTATAAGTCAAATCTAGTTTAATATATTCTCTTAGTCTCTTTCTGGTTGGTATGATATCACAGGAGTGTATTCACACACTCCTCTGCTGCAGTAACAGCTGATACCTCAGTGTGCTGCTCAGGCTCTGCTGGGGTTTCCTTCTTCAGGTCGGGCTGAGGAACGACTTTCTCCAAACCCTCAGAGATCCAGGCCATCATCCCTTTCCTGAGGGGAAATAAAAACAGAAACACAACGACTTATTTCTTCTTCAGGAGATGAGAATCTATCCTAACTGAGACAAATATAATATAGATCACATGATCAGCGTAACAATATGATACATACAGTAGTAAACAGCAATGAGACATGAAATGAAGCTCACTATTTGGCATATTTGGCATATATGCCATCAAATGGGCATATAAAGCAGCTCAGTATTATCTATCGTAGCTCACTATTTGGCAGTATGCACGTTGAGGGGTTTATAAAAAAGCTCACTATTTAGCCGTATGCACGTTGAGGGTTATTTAGACAAGCTCACTATTTCACTATTAGTCCGTCTGCTGATGAGTTTCTAAAGCGTCTCAGTATTTGGCAGTCTGTCTATTGGTGGGTTTAAAAAGGAGCTCGGTGTTCTGCTAATACGTATCAAGTCGGCTCAGTATTTGGCAGTTTGCAAACTGATGGCAGTAATTTGCAGTGTTTGTCCTATAGGGTATATTAAGCAGCTCAGTATTTGACAGTTTGCCTGGTGATGGGTATTTAAAGCATCGCAGTATTTGGCAGCCTATGGCAGCCTATGGCTAATGGGTTTGTTAAGCAGCTCAGTATTTGACACTATCTGTTTCCTGTCGTTACTCACTCGTCTTCAGGTTTACTGTTATTACAGAGAGGAAGGAGCACAGAGGAAACATCAAAACACTTGTATCACTGCAACACATCTGGAAACCATTAACTCCACATTTCTGATAAACATAATACAAAATCTGTCATAGCACAGCTGCTTTGTGTTGACCTAACAATATCAATAAAGCCTTGGGCAATCATTCACCATAATCATGGTACTATCATTGGAAAAACTCAAGCTAAGTGTTCTTAAAGTTAGTAAAGGAGTACCACAGGGATCCGTTCTTGGTCCTCCTTTATTTACACTATGCTGCATATAAAAAGAGTATAATCTCTGAAACCCCACATCCTTTATATATTATATATATATATGTACCTGGTTGTTGTGTTTTGCTCCTGGAAAGAAGGAAAAGACACAACAAATATTATTGGGACCTACAGAACGACTCTGTTGCGGGATCTGGTCCTGAGTAAGTAAGCGATCCGGGTAAGTATCTTGTGCTGGGGCAGTATGTGGTTCTGGTGCAGTATCCGGTCCCATGGTTAATATCTGGTTCTGTGTCAGTAGCTGGTCCTTGGTAAGAACCTAGTCTTGGGTATGTAAGCAAACCGAGGCATGTATCTGGTCCTGGGTGGATATGTTGTCGTGGGTCAGCATCTGGTCCCGGTTTCTAGTGCTGGGTCAGTATTTAGTGCTGTGTCAGTATCTGGTCCTGGGTCAGTATCTGGTCCTGGGTCAGTATCTAGTGCTGGGTCAGTATTTAGTGCTGTGTCAGTATCTGGTCCTGGGTCAGTATCTAGTGCTGGGTCAGTATTTAGTGCTGGGTCAGTATTTAGTGCTGTGTCAGTATCTGGTCCTGGGTCAGTATCTAGTGCTGGGTCAGTATTTAGTGTTGTGTCAGTATCTGGTCCTGGGTCAGTATCTGGTCCTGGGTCAGTATCTAGTGCTGGGTCAGTATTTAGTGTTGTGTCAGTATCTGGTCCTGGGTCAGTATCTAGTGCTGGGTCAGTATCTGGTCCTGGGTCAGTATCTAATGCTGGGTCAGTATTTAGTGCTGGGTCAGTATTTAGTGCTGTGTCAGTATCTGGTCCTGGGTCAGTATCTGGTCCTGGGTCAGTATCTAGTGCTGGGTCAGTATTTAGTGTTGTGTCAGTATCTGGTCCTGGGTCAGTATCTAGTGCTGGGTCAGTATCTGGTCCTCACCTTCTCGACGGAGTTGGCCCGGCTCAGGTTTGGTGGGAGTGCAGGTTTCGGCAAAGTGGCGTTGAACCACGTAAACACTCCGGACTGAGCGACAGGCTCCGGGCTGAGAGCAAAACATCCAGAGGTAATTTAAATAAGGGCACATAACATCAATAAAATACAGTAAATAAACTGTATACTTGCTACTTTAATACACTGGAGATTCATTTAAGTTGATGTGAGTTATTGTCATTTTCAATTTATAACTACAATACGATAACATTTTTATATCATTGTAGGTGAATATTATTTCTAAAAACTGTATTTTGTTCATAATCCTGTTTATCAAAACCTCCTCATGTATGAAAAGGGACACAAACAGGAAAATGACCATAAACTGAATTGCAATGCAGATCTTTCATGAAGTAACAATTATATTAAACATCATTGTATTTCTCAGATCATCTCACCCGCTCTCCGCCGCCTGTACTTCCTGTTTGGGTTTGCCATCTTTTTGAGCTGTTGATAAAACACAACTGTTATTGTTTAGCAAGAAGAACAAAACCCCAAACTGAACCACGAGATGTTCCCGGTGCCGTCTTACCCTGCTGTTTGCTCTCATCTAGAAATGTCACTTTCTTCTCCTGTTAAAAACACAATATGATTTCATGTTAAACATATAAAGTTTACATAATGAAACACATAATCAGAATCAGGGTTATTGCCAAGTATTATTCAAAAGTAATTTGCTTTGCTGCATACAAAACATTTAAGTGGAATAAGCTATGTATATAACTTTTAAAATAAATATTATACAATTAAAATAAATGTTGACAAGTATTCCTCGGGCATAATGGCATAAATAAAATACATGCAGTCTTATATATATATTTGAATATAAAAAATATATGTGCAGTATATCACCTATAAGGTATACGTATTTTTCTATATCTAAAGTCAGTAAAGTAACCATTAAAGTGTGATTCAAACATTTTGAGTGTAATTTAAAATATTATTTTCCACATTTGGGTCCCAGAATGATAGAATATAAAAGGAACTCTGGTAGTGGCTGTAGTGTGAATAAACTTCATATAATATGTTTTTACGATGAAAATAAGAGATGAAACGAAAATGGTAAAATCGTGATCAAAACATAAACGGGCTTGGCTTAAACTAAGGGGAGGAGTCACCGCAGGGGGCGTGGTCACTGGTTTCCCCAGTTTCTGCTCTTCAACATTTTTTGGCGGAGGCTCCGGCGGCTGCGGAACGACTTTAGCCACCCAGCTCAACATCCTGCGAGAACAAACACACACAGAATAGTTAAGAGTGACGGAGCGTCCACACAGCAGCGTGCGTTGACGCTTGGCGGTGGGCGTGTCTGAAGCTTGGGGATTTTTTGCGATTAACGCGACCAACAACCAATCACATGAATCTCCCGCCCCCGACATACAAAGCAATAGCAATGTTAAAACGAAGTAAACTGGATAAAAACCCCAACAGTTTTCCCTCCATGCCTCGCTCCTCCGGTTTGTATCCCGGTAGATGAACAGAGACCGATCATACAGCACCGGGTGATTCACTACCGCTATAATGAATTTTCCCTCCATTTTTTGGAATATGAGGAAATGACCTGCGTAGTCTCTCCCAGCTTACACGCGGTTTGATTGGCTAGCGCTTGTACTGGCAGATTAGCATAAACGGGATTTCATTGGCTGACGCTTCTGCCGAGGCGCCAAAAGTTGAACATTGCTCAACTTTTGAAGCGAGCGAGGCCAGCAACGCCAGCAACGCTCCACGTCGCTTCCCAAAATGCAGTTCGGCTAAAAGTGACGTCACCCCATTCAAAGTGAATGGGCAGAAGCGTTGGAAGCTTCAACGCACGCCGCTGTGTGGACGGGCCGTGAAGGGGTGGACCCTGAAGGCAGCACCTCCCTGGTCCAATGGGATTCCTCCATTTGATTTTGGATTATTGCAGAAAATAATCTCTGTGTCAAACAAACGATAATCTCCACATATTAACACCTCTTTATGATTTCTGAAGTAAAAAGCTAACGTTAGGCTATAAAGGAATAGGGATTAAAAAAGGGTTTAAAAACTCATACTCGCACCATACAACCTGGTCTAATCTGTATTTGCATTCTCTTACTAATGTCATTGTTGCTCTTATTAAAACAGTATAAAAACTATTTATACCCCAAAAATAAACTAGAAAATACTACTTGATGTTACCCACTCTAATGCATTTACAAATACTTATTTATGTATAAGAATTGACATCAATCTCTCCACTGGAGATACAAAACAAATCATGACAGTCCTCACACAAAACTCAAATGTACATCTGCTATACCTGAATGTTTAGTTTGTGATCATTTTGCCCCTTTTATATTCATTTAACGAAAATGTCCAAACACAAGTGTTAATGTTAATTACGACTACAGCAGTCCAACAACACATCAATGCTTATCACGCACCACATGGAAGAACAATAATGAATGTAGAACTTTGGTATCTTTTAAAAACAATAAAAGAGTTCTTGGAAAGGTTCCTAATTAGCGTTCTCTCTATTGACTCGAGTCGCTCGGTGCTTAGCGGCGTTTGGATCAGTTCTGGCTGAGCGTCAGCTTGATCAGCGCGGACTGACCGTGACCCTAATCCGCCTCAGGAGGTCGGCAGCAGAGCTGTGTCACTGTGCTGACAAACATTTCAACTGGAGTCACTTGCGCTTTCAGTTAGCTCTTTAGCCATGTAGCTAGGTTTTATGTCCACCAGTTTTGCAGTTTCGATTGTTATCAGCCAGGTTTACGTTTGGCAACATCTTTAATCAAATCAAGTCTTATTTATGGATCCCAATCTCAGATATTATGCAATACAACTAAATTCCCAAATTGGGATTCATAAAGTACATTTTACCGTATATTATATTTAATCTTATATTACATCTGTAGATCGTACAACACTGTCTGTTTTAGGAACATCTCAGCGGCTTGGGAAAAACCCATTCCCCCCCCAAAAACAATCTCCCAGTTTTCCAGAGTAAAGGAAATAGTTTTGTTGCCACAAAACACATCAAACTGATTCAGTAGGTGAGCAAAAGGGTATAAAGGTGTCACTTTCACTTTCCAGTTAGCTCTGTAGTCTTTTAGCTAGTTGCTAAAACCACCAGTGAGTCAGTTAGTTAGCTTTCCAGTTAGCTCTTTAGTCTTTTAGCTAGTTGCTAAAACCACCAGTGAGTCAGTTAGTTAGCTTTCCAGTTAGCTCTTTAGCCAAATAGCTCATTTGTCAACAAGTAAGTCAGTTAGTTATTATTTTAGTTTGATTTTTAGATGTTCAGCTAGATGCTCAGTCAACCAGTAAGTCGGTTAGTTAGCTTTACAAGTACCTTGTTAGATATTAAGCTAGTTGCTATTAGTTAGCTAGTTTAATATATATTTAGATATCTATCCATTAACATTCTGTTCTTTATCCAAAACAGCTAGTTTCTAAGTCAGGTAGTGAGATCAGTCGATCAGCCAATTTTTGAATCAAATCAAATTTAGTCAGATTTATTTATATTGACCAATTTCACATATTACACATTTGCCTCACGGGGTTTTACAATTTGTTGCCACAACTTAGCCATACGTTTTCTTGAGGTTCAGTAGCTTTTTATCAATGCTTGCATTTATTATCAAGGATAATTGTGCATTGATTTTAAAGTATTGCTAATATCATTATGAAAACATACACACTTAAGACAATAGAGATGCTTCATGCAACTGGCCAGGTAAACAGTCGGTTAACTCATTTGATGGGTAATTATCATCCACTTAGTCAAATTAGACAAGTTGGCTAGTTTAATTAACTTTTACAGCCAGATAACGTGCTAGAAAATCAACAACAGTGAGTCAATAACATGGTGGGCAAGCAAACATAAATGTAACTTTAAAATTACTTGTAAAATAAAGTATTTTGTAAAAAGTAAGGCACTTCATTAGATGCAATTATTAATGTATTGGATTCAAACACAGTTCATTTTCATCACAAGAAAAATGTGCTGAACAAAAGGGTGTGTGTGTGTGTGTGTGTGTGTGTGTGTGTGTGTGTGTGTGTGTGTGTGTGTGTATACAGACTCTGCTAGACAATTGCATGTGAGCTCGGCTAACCATGATATTATTTACAACTGAATACATTGGTAAAAATAGTGAGAAGTATCCCAGTGTAAGAAAGCAGAAGTTCTTACATTTTATCGCAAAAAAAAAAGTATTCTTCAGAATTTTTTTTATCAGAAGTATAATTTATTGAAAAAAAGTGCATGTGAAGAAGTAAACGTAACGCGCACTGCAAACCAACCGTATTTGTCTGTTAGCATGTTAGCTAGCTCGTTAGCAAATGTTGTTTACTGGCTAAATAAACTGCACACTCAGATAATCTAACAAAGTGACTCACGACTAAACCACCATGCTCTGAAGTATTTCCCCGCCCGTTGAGGTATTATTTTGGGGGTGTTTTGTGGAGGTCGTGGGGTGTTTAGTGGGGTGTTTAGTGGGGTCTATGTGCTGGTTGTCCTACCTGAGAAGTTAGCGAGGGTCCGGCAGCGTCCCACAGAAGAAGAACCGTGAAGTCCTGCAGGGATCTGAGCGCTGTGGGAGGATTATGGAACTAACAGGATTACAGGAGGACGTTAATATGGGGACACACAGATTACCCTCCCAAATCAAACTCACTCACATCAGTCCAACATGGTGAGAGAAAACATTAAGAAAAGAGAGAACATTGACAGAAAACAGTCATTTAGATATTTTACTGCCTTTTAAAGATGGACAGTTTTATCATTTTTATACTTGATTTTTTGGATCAAGGTGATTGCTGGACTTTATTCACTTCCACATTTAACATTTATGTTTAATTTATTATGCCATTCCTTGCCAGTTAATGTCAATAATATCCTACTTTCAAATTTAGTTGCAACTTGTAATAAACTTTTTAAATAATGTTTTATTTTCTCTTTTGAGATGTTTATATTTGTTTATTTTCTACTCTTTTTATTTAAAGAATGTGCAAAGCCTTGTTTTAACATTGGGATCAATAAAGTATATTTTATCTTATCTTTCAAATGCATTCACTTTAATTGTGGAACCCCAAAGGCGATAACAATAATGAAGTTTAGCTCTCTGACATTTATACCTGTTGTTATACCTGATCTCAAATGAATTATCCGTCATGATCTGAAATAAATACCTCAGGTGGAAGATAAAACAATAAGTTGTTATCTTAAAAAAACAAAAGTTGCCTTGATGTAATGAATCATTGATTCCTGCTCATCCTAAATGTATTCCTCCTTTGTTTACTTCTGGAACACAGTGACATCACTCTGTAACATTAGCTCTCCTATTGGCTAGCGCTCAAACACATTGTACGTGATAGGCTGGGGGGGCGGGACATCTCTAAGCGGTCGAAGAATAACATCAGAGCCGGCCAGCTAACCAATCAGAGCAGACTGTGCTCTGGAGTCAGACAGAGACGTTGAACCGACATACATCGTTTGTTTAACATGAACAATCTGACAATAGTCGTGCTTTTTTCTTCTGTAATCTGTTCGGGCTTTATATCCATTGTAGACCGTGTTAACCTTATTCAGGATAACAACCAAAAACACATTCAGAAAACCATTGACCTCCAGACCACGGGGCAGGAAGTGATGAAATGCTGACTCAACTCTATTATGTCTTGTTTTATATGTAATTTGTGTATGATGGTTTTTAACTGTTTCTTTTGTGCTACACGACCCTGGCTGTGGGTCACACTCAGATTTGTTTTTGCGCTCATGTTGCAGCGCCTGCAGGTTAAAGCTGTTAACGAGCAGATGATCCGCTCAAGAGGTTCATCAGCGTCAGCGAAACGAGGATCAGCCGCAGAAACCTGACCGGCTCAAAGACCCACAAAAGACAGCTGTGAGGCGACTGGTGCAATCTCTTCCATCAGGAGAGACACGCTGCAGCTTCAGAAAGGATGCAGGGATACAAACACAAAGAAGCTCAAAACACAACGGAGACCAGGGGACACTAAAGAGTGACGCACACAGCTGGAGACCAGGGGACACTAAAGAGTGACGAACACAGCTGGAGACCAGGGGACACTAAAGAGTGACGCACACAGCTGGGAGACCAGGGACACTAAAGAGTGACGCACACAGCTGGAGACCAGGGGACACTAAAGAGTGACGAACACAGCTGGAGACCAGGGGACACTAAAGAGTGACGAACACAGCTGGGAGACCAGGGACACTAAAGAGTGACGCACACAGCTGGGAGACGGGGGACACTAAAGAGTGACGAACACAGCTGGAGACCAGGGGACACTAAAGAGTGACGAACACAGCTGGAGACCAGGGGACACTAAAGAGTGACGCACACAGCTGGAGACCAGGGGACACTAAAGAGTGACACAAACAGCTGGGAGACCAGGGGACACAAAGAGTGACACACACAGCTGAGACCAGGGGACACTAAAGAGTGACGCACACAGCTGGGAGACCAGGGGACACTAAAGAGTGACACACACAGCTGAGACCAGGGGACACTAAAGAGTGACGCACACAGCTGGGAGACCAGGGGACACTAAATAGTGACTCACACAGCTGGAGACCAGGGGACACTAAAGAGTGACACACATAGCTGGGAAACCAGGGGACACTAAAGAGTGACGAACACAGCTGGGAGACCAGGGGACACTAAAGAGTGACGCACACAGCTGGGAGACCAGGGGACACTAAAGAGTGACACACACAGCTGGAGACCAGGGGACACTAAATAGTGAGGCACACAGCTGGAGACCAGGGGACACTAAAGAGTGACGCACACAGCTGGGAAACCAGGGGACACTAAAGAGTGACGAACACAGCTGGGAGACCAGGGGACACTAAAGAGTGACGCACACAGCTGGGAGACCAGGGGACACTAAAGAGTGACACACACAGCTGGAGACCAGGGACACTAAATAGTGACCGCACCAGCTGGAGACCAGGGGACACTAAAGAGTGGCGCACACAGCTGGGAGACCAGGGGACACTAAAGAGTGACGCACACAGCTGGGAGACCAGGGGACACTAAAGAGTGACACACACAGCTGGAGACCATGGGACACTAAAGAGTGACGCACACAGCTGGGAGAGCAGGGGACACTAAGAGTGAGGCAACAGCTGGGAGACCAGGGGACACTAAAGAGTGACGCACACAGCTGGAGACCAGGGGACACTAAAGAGTGAGGCACACAGCTGGAGACCAGGGGACACTAAAGAGTGACGCACACAGCTGGGAGACCAGGGGACACTAAAGAGTGACACACACAGCTGGAGACCAGGGGACACTAAATAGTGACACACACAGCTGGAGACCAGGGGACACTAAAGATTGACGCACACTCTGGAGACCAGGGACACTAAAGATGACGCACACAGCTGGAGACCAGGGGACACTAAAGAGTGACGCACCCAGCTGGAGACAAAGGGACACTAAAGAGTGATGTACACATCTGGGAGACCAGGGGACACTAAAGAGTGACACACACAGCTGGAGACCAGGGGACACTAAATAGTGACGCACACAGCTGGAGACCAGGGGACACTAAAGATTGACGCACACAGCTGGAGACCAGGGGACACTAAAGAGTGACGCACACAGCTGGAGACCAGGGGACACTAAAGAGTGACGCACACAGCTGGAGACCAGGGGACACTAAAGAGTGACGCACACAGCTGGAGACAAAGGGACACTAAAGAGTGACGTACACATCTGGGAGACCAGGGGACACTAAAGAGTGACACACACAGCTGGGAGACCAGGGGACACTAAATAGTGACGCACACAGCTGGAGACCAGGGGACACTAAAGATTGACGCACACAGCTGGAGACCAGGGGACACTAAAGAGTGACGCACACAGCTGGAGACCAGGGGACACTAAAGAGTGACGCACACAGCTGGAGACCAGGGGACACTAAAGAGTGACACACACAGCTGGAGACAAAGGGACACTAAAGAGTGACATACACATCTGGGAGAACAGGGGACACTAAAGAGTGACGCACACAGCTGGAGACCAGGGGACACTAAATAGTGACGCACACAGCTGGAGACCAGGGGACACTAAAGAGTGACGTACACATCTGGGAGACCAGGGGACACTAAAGAGTGACGCACACAGCTGGAGACCAGGGCGACACTAAAGAGTGACGCACACAGCTGGAGACCAGGGGACAATAAAGAGTGACGCACACAGCTGGAGACCATGGGACACTAAAGAGTGACGCACACAGCTAGAGACCAGGGGACACTAAAGAGTGACGCACACAGCTGGAGACCAGGGGACACTAAATAGTGACGCACACAGCTGGAGACCAGGGGACACTAAAGAGTGACGCACACAGCTGGAGACCAGGGGACACTAAAGAGTGACGCACACAGCTAGAGACCAGGGGACACTAAAGAGTGACGCACACAGCTGGAGACCAGGGGACACTAAAGAGACTATTTGTGGTTTCCCTGAAATAAAACAACATAACGACCATGTTGTAAATATATCACGTCTCTATTTCCATAACAAGTAAAATGATGAACTACTCTTCGTTCTGTCTCTATAGCGACGGGTTTAGCAGATCACACTTCTTTAACAGTTGGACTCATGTTGAGGGTAAATTAAAAAATATCTAAAGTGATGCAGGAGAACCAGAGGTATCATGCTCCCTGTCAAACCCGGCGCCTACATTTCCCACAATGCAACACGACAATCAACAGCTAGTTACAGGTTATGACGCAGTGGGTGTTTTAGTTATCTTCTCTATGGATTATAATAATATTGTTTCTGCTACAAAAAGTCCAGACTCACTTTTAATTCTCCATTACTTTATAACGTTTTATTAATGGTTGGTTTTGGTTTCAAACATCTTTTAAACAATGAAAGTGTTTCTCACTTCCTGCGGACTGAGGTCAGATGAGCTCATGCTGCCCTCCTGTGGAGAGACTGGTTTACTGCAGGAAGTCATCAGGTCTGAATCAGTGCTGACCTCTGCAGGAAGTCATCAGGTCTGAATCAGTGCTGACCTCTGCAGGAAGTCATCAGGTCTGACTCAGTGCTGACCTCTACAGGAAGTCATCAGGTCTAAATCAGTGCAGACCTCTGCAGGAAGTCATCAGGTCTAAATCAGTGCAGACCTCTGCAGGAAGTCATCAGGTCTAAAACAGTGCAGACCTCTACAGTAAGTCATCAGGTCTAAATCAGTGCTGACCTCTACAGGAAGTCATCAGGTCTAAATCAGTGCAGACCTCTACAGGAAGTCATCAGGTCTAAATCAGTGCAGACCTCTACAGGAAGTCATCAAGTCTAAATCAGTGCAGACCTCTACAGGAAGTCATCAGGTCTAAATCAGTGCAGACCTCTGCAGGAAGTCATCAGGTCTAAATCAGTGCTGACCTCTACAGGAAGTCATCAGGTCTAAATCAGTGCAGACCTCTGCAGGAAGTCATCAGGTCTAAATCAGTGCTGACCTCTACAGGAAGTCATCAGGTCTAAATCAGTGCTGACCTCTACAGGAAGTCATCAGGTCTAAATCAGTGATGACCTCTACAGGAAGTCATCAGGTCTAAATCAGTGCAGACCTCTACAA